AAACGATAGTACGACACACGCTTCATACAACACGCAGTTCTGAAACTGTCATTTTCATGTCATTCCTGTGAACTGTTGAGAACTACAGAGAATTCAAAAAGGCTCTAGAGAAGAAAAGAGGTTCAGCTCTGGTTTCATCAGCAGGGGGAGCTCAAAGCTTAAGGTCACTTTGTAGTGTGAAATAAATGACTGTCAATCAAAATCAGAATTTAGATTAACCGGGTTCAGACCACAGTGAGCAGAACAGTTGTATTAAAAACAAGCTGTCCTTCTTGGTGACGGTGTTTCAGGTGCAGGTATGAGATGAAATGTGCTCCAGTTTGAGAAACAGGTCGATGATTTGTAAATTTATCATATGCAGAACAAAAAGACTGCTTATGAAAATGTTTTATTCATCCTTTATTTAGTCTGGCAACCTCAGAGTGGTTAACAAGCACAGGCTGGGAAAGATTATTAAACTTGACTAACTTGAACTATCTGGGTTAAGAAGTTAGAGCCACTCAGATGGCAAATGCCATTCTGGCCGATCCTAAACACCCCAGAGTTTCAACTTCTGCTATCAGGTAGGCGGTAGTGCACTTTACCCCAGAGTGCCAAATCAAACAGATATCTGAGATCATTTGTTCCAACAAACTGTAGGCCTGGTTTCTGTTGTACATACACTAAAATACAGGACTGATGGACACACAGTGCTCTATGGTAACTTTACTGTATGTTGATAACATCGGTTGTATGTTAAATTTATTTATGTATTGTATTAATTTATTTGTTTTATGATGTGTTTTGACTGCTGTCTGCAAATCAAATTGCCCCTCAGGGACAAAAAAATGCACATGCAAAAAAAGAGATTATTGTTGATCGTAGGATTGGGTTCTGATAGCTGATCACATTTTGTTCTACACTTCCCTGTCCTGTTTGATTCCATGAAAGCGAACTCTGGTGTGTTTGTGTTAGTTCGGTTCATTTAGGCTGGTGTGGAAGCTGTCAATCAAACCACCAGGCTAAAAACTATTTTTTTACCAAATGAATCAAACTAAACAAACGCGTCAGAATTTGTTTAAAACCAAACCAAGCAGGTTAAGTGTGACAGCACTAAATGGCTGTACAGCTGCACACTGATGCTATGGTTTCTCCGTCCAGAGCTTCAGTGCACAGTGTCGGAGCGATGGAAACGAAAGACTGAGAGAATGAAACAAGCTAAATTCTGCATCAGCCCTTTATAATTCAGATAAACTGAGCTGATAAGTCAACTGTAAATGTTAGCGGAGAGGAATGTGAACTCTCTGACAGCCTGCCAACTCAACACTGAGAGAGCTCTGAACTGTTTGGACTTTGACTTTGACCCAGTTTAAATTTAGGCCAGAGGGAGAAGCTGAACGACTAATGATAGTAATGCTGTTATAATACCACTAAATCACTGCTTATAAAATAGGCACCACTGCTGCTGATACATCCCCCAAAATCCCACTAAAACAACATACTTGAAGCTGCATTGATTGATTGATTGATTTTTTTTTTTTTTTAAGTTCAACTTACCCAGGATATCTTTGGTTATCTGGGTTCACTTACCCTAACAATCAGGATTGGGATAAGCGGTCACACAAGGCTGGTTCTCAACTCGATAAATCAATCATTGATCAATCAATGTTCACATAAGAGGCGGAGTTGGCAGCAGATGACCAATCGCAAACAAGTCCACTGGCAGCAGAGCGTCATATTGTACAAATTATAATATTAGATAATCTCAGAGTGAATGCCTAAATGAACAGAGGTAGCGTTTAACAATGCATTGATTTGATATGCTCTTATGGCGCGTATGAAAATATTTGCCTTATTCTTTCAGCCCGGCTGTGTGTCGACGTTTCCACATTGAATTACCCGTTCTCCCTCCCCGACTCGTCACATATTTGTAACGCACTGGGGAGCCCTATAGCCTCATAGTTCAGCGCAGTGGGGGGAGCCCTGTAGCGTCGGTTTTTGACGGTAAAGGCAGGTATATGATATTTAACAGAAAAGGCTCAGTAAGGAGGTGGTTGGAGGGCCAGAACCCGGACTTTGAACCAGGAGACCGGGGTTCGTGTCCCGTGTGAAACAAAAAGTCCATCCATCCATCGTCAACCACTTATCCTGCGTACAGGGTCGCAGGGGCTGGAGCCAATCCCAGCTGACAATGGGCGAGAGGCGGGGTTCACCCTGGACAGGTCGGCAGTCCATCGCAGGGCTGAAACAAAAAGTTAACATTAAATATTTTCATTCAAGTTATGCAAGTTACGTAAACTGCGTAAATTACGCAAATGACATTATTGAACGTACGTGTTAACTGACATACATAATTATTTTAACCCAAACTATGATCTTTTCTAACCTTAACCGAGTAGTTTTTGTGCCTAAATCTAACCAAACTGCAACGTTTCACAACTTTAATTACGTGCCATTTCAAAATGACAATGTTTCGAAACGCTAGCGTTTTATTTTGAAAATGTAACTGGACGTTGCATATTTGTTGTTGCTAAGCGTCGCTAACTTGACCATATTGACAAGTGTCAATATGTGACGAGTCGACAGTGAGAACGTGTTGCATTGAAAGACTGTATAGGCCTGATGGTCGTTTTTCAGAACTTCTTGTCTCTTCAAAAATCACATTATTTATTCAACACATTCAAAAATGTTCCAAACATTGTTCTAAATCAACTTCTTAAAGCAACAAAATGAAAAATCGATTCATGCCGTAAAAGGTGCTCACACAGTGGTTGAAAGACTGAATCTCAACATTTAGGCTACTGAAAACTCCCCCACATTGCAAAGAGAGAGAGGGCTTTATAATACCAGATAGCTACTAACCTAAAATAAACTTCATTTCAACAGGCCTACAAAACTATGTGCTCATAATATTCAGTCTCGCATAAGAAAAATGAAATCCATTGATTTTAACGGCTGCGACAGGCTGTGTGAAAAATGAAAAATAAAAAATATAAAACACATTTCAAAGCAGTACGAAGGCTGTCACATCCTAAAAACCTACGACAAGTAGCCAACAGGGCTTAAGCTGCTGCAGCAGCTGAAGCTGGGTTTGAGGAGATCTGAGTTGTCGGCCAGAAAAGCAAAACAATGAGCTCAAAGAGGCTGAGAGGGAAAGTGCAGAGTCAGCTGATAATTCTCTGGATGCCTCACTATGAGCGATACATTACACATTTACACATTTAATCAGACCTTTGATTAGTGCAACTTTATGTTCTCAAGCCTTTAATGCTGCTAAAACATTAAAAGTAGTGCATACATCGTTTACAACACTTTAGTTGTGAGCTGATATAAGGACAGTTTCATCAAGCGTCCTTAACTGGTGTATAAAGTTAATGTATGATAATCCACCGTACAACATGTTTTTATGTTTAAATGATAAATGATTACACACACTAACGAGTCCCTGCAGCGTCCTATAAAACATTTATACACACGTTCAAAACTCATGCAAACAAACTTGAAGTTTCATTCTTGACCTTGGAAATACCGTCGTATTCAACACTTCTTAACTCGTCAAGTTACTTCCGGAGCTTTCAGCCATGTTTTGTGACCTTCATCTATGGATTGAGTATTTTTAAACAAATGCATCATCCTTTATAATATAATGAATACCTTTAACAATGTAATAATGTTAGACTTCGTAATTAAACGGTTTAATTGTCAGTCATTCATTAACATTCATTAAAGTTACAGATGCTTCACAGGAGGATTTATAGGATTGTTGACGTTACACACACACACAAACACACATCTGCTTACAACTAAATCATGGTGCATTATTAAAATGTATTAAATATTTAAAAACTGCTAAGTAGGGGTTTAAAATTAAGGGTCACTCACATTTCCATCCCCAGTGATGCAACACATTTACAGTTCACTAACAATAGCTACTTTCCCTTATCCCTAAATGAAAGCTAACGCTGCAAAGTGAGCGACGTTTGTTTGTTCTGTTCAAGACTCAAGTCCAAGTCCTCACACCTGGGTGACATTCTGAGGACAGGGGACACTGTATTTATGTGGTAATGGCTCCATCTCGTGTCCATGAACAGACCGACAGTGTGCAGTTAGTTTTCCTGCTGCTCACCGAGGCACAGCTTACAGTCTGCACCTTCAGAACATGCACATTATTCTCCACCTGCAGCTCTACAACCAGCTGAAAGATTCAGGTCCAGCCGTAAAGAAGCAGTAGATTGCGATGTGAAAACAATGTGTGTTGGTGTGACTGGTGGTTAATGATCCACTGAATCTGCAGCTTCTCGGAAAACGGCTGTTTCCAAACACAAGGAGCAGCAGCTGACTCTGAGCCAAGGGTGTGTAAAGAGAACCGGCTGTTGGGAGTTTCATCTGACTCTGCAAATCCAGAAGTTACTTTTAGTTTAAGAGCTTTTGGGAAGAAGAGTTCAGAGCCGTAACATGTCATGTCACATTAACATGGAGGCTGCAGCAGCACAGAGTTTAATACACAGACAAATCTTTTCCCACCTTCTGGGAAGAGTCATCTGTACTTTACTTTAGGTATATACAATTAAAGCTATATGCTTCTACTCTGCTACATCTCAGAGGCAAACATTTATCTTACTGGATCTTGGTGGCTCCATAATTTAAAGGGCCCATTTTGTTCTTTTGTAGCTGATAATACTTCTGTACTTTTACTCAAGTATAATTGTTTTTACATTGCAGTTATCTGAGTAGTTGAATAAATGTATGACTTAATTACGATCTCTTTTGCACAAAATAAATCAGTGATGTTATTAAGAAATCAGTAGACCGTCAGTTTCTCTGCCTACAGATTACATCTGTATTTATTTTCAGCTGTGTGTAATTTCTAGTTTGTCTGCTGCAACAGTTTCAGCGTATCTGGTTTTTGAGAAGGTCTAGGACGCTTACTGGTTCATGAGTGTCAATAAGGTGAGCAGTGATTGGCTGAGCAACGTGTCTATCACGGCTGTGGTGGGCCTCCGTCAGAGCAGAGTGCAGACAGAGAGATATGGTTAGTCTGCTCAAACTGCAGCCACCAGCCAAAGACAGAGACTAAAGACAGAAGTGAGGGTTGTGCTTTAGCAGCAGGATGGGCTCCAACAGCTCCAGCGTGAACAACATCCCAAACGCCCAGGAGCTCATGCAGGAGACTGGCTGTGAGTTCCCACTTTTTTTGGCTTTAGTTTCATGTTTTTCTTCCTTCTGAATAATCTTACATATGGAGCTGTTTGTGGAAACCAGGAGAAGAGGGAAGGAGAGTAAAGAGAACAGGTTAGCTCCCAGGCAGTCAGACTAGCTAAAGAAAAACAAGTTTAGCAGTAATTGTTTTTGTTAAAGTTATAAAAACTCTAGAGTCTCTTGAGTTCAGTCACTCCTGAATCATGAGCCTGTATGAAGATGTTGTTGTTTTACCTCGTCAAGTTACTGATTCCACTCCTATTTCACTTTAATCTGAATACATAATGAAAGTTCGAGTTGTTTTAATGTTTGCCACAAATGGGACTCTGACAGTGTTGCTGTTGGGGAACTGAGGGAAAGTGACAGCTGTGAAACATGAAACCACAGCTGTCAGAAAGGAGGTTTCCTGCTGCAGATGATCCACTATAATAATGTGAACAGACAGAAAATGTGCTTTCACATATTCCCACATACACACAAACACAAACAAATGTGATGCATTTATTTACCGTTGAGCCATCTGTCCAAATCAGATAAATGTGTTAAAAATGCACAGAGAAGCTTTAAGGTTCAATCATTTATTATCTACATGGATGCTTCCTAGGAGTTAAAGCTGCTAATAATGTCCTTTTTATATCTATTTTGTTTAACTATTTGTTTATTTTACATACAGCTCATAAATGTTAAAGAGGGGGTGCTAACATGCAGCAAGATGAATGAAATAAGTGAATAAATGATAATTTCCTCTTCTGTAAAATTACTATAATTAAATCTTTGACAAGGTTTTGGTCCTGGAAAAAAATACTGAGTCTACATGAATGTTTCTGCTTCTTCTACTACTTCTATAATATACCTTTTTGGGGTTTAGACAATTGCAAAATGTCTGAAGCACTAATATTTTGTTTTTAAAGTAACCTTCATTTAGCACTTTAGTACAATTCCTATCACTGTATGTGTCTGTGTTTATTTGCAAAATTTATTTAAAATGTTACGGAATAAGGAAAAAACTATTAAAACATCCATTAAAAATATTTTAAAACGCCTTCAAAATATATGCACACATTCCAAAATTTCTATTAGTTCATATTAAATCAAATACATTAGTACCAAAAATCACCTCACTTGGTGTGAGTGTTCAGGTAAGGGGTTAGGAAATGCATCATATCAATGAAATGTCGCCACGGGGACAGAGGAACAAACATGTGTGGGGGTGATATCTGCAGCGGCCTCAGTCTGAGCTCTCTGATAGCAGCAGAGTGAGCGTTGCAAAACTCATCAGTGTTGTTCCATCAGCCGTTTATCTCAGTTTGTGTGTGAACACCCTGAACTGTCCACACTTACGCAGACACTGTGGAGGTTGTTATCCAGATACGTTAAACAGATAACCGCACAGTGGCTGCAGCCGTTTGTCTTCAGTGGTGCAGAAAGAATGCGTTTACTGTCTCATTAAAGCTAAATATTCTTCGGTTTATTGTAAGTACTTTGTCCTGTTAGGATAAGAATAACATTTTTTATGATGATGGCACTATAAATGTCAGCAAATCTCATGTGCAGAGCCAAACCAGCGGTGGTCTCTGCCGACTGGTGGCTCACGGTGCATTCAGGTGCTCCTCGTCCCATCTCGTTCTTCCGACTTCAGTGTGTGTTCGTGTGCTCTTAAGTCAGAACGTGGAATCAACACGGACGCTACAACAAAGACGTGTTGGATTCACATTATCAGAGCAGATAAACAACATGCAGACATCTAGTTCACTCTACATGGACAGCAAACTAAAAGTTAGAACCAGATTACACATTACACGTCTGCAAAATGTGCAATACGTCTTTTCTAACTTCTAATAATCCACCATTACTGCTAACGTTACTACTTCTTCTTTTTCATACGTAGTGATGAAACACTTTTGTCCGTTTGGGCTGCTGTAGAAACATGGCGGTGCCACGTGGTGACGTCCATGTCAGAGGACCCGCGGTGTCTGTAGATAGAAATGTCTCATTCTAAGGTAATAACAACATGGCGGTTCATTATGTAAGGTCTTTATACACCACTGAAATTATATTGCATTTCTCTCAATAGATCCTCAGAAATATTACACACTGGACCTTTAAACCCATCAGAGGGTCACATGTTCCTTCTTTACCACTGACACACACACTGTAGCTTATTCTGACTCAGTAGAGAAATACTGTAAAACGTACACCGTCCTGCTGCCCTGAATACTTACTGAAGCACCGTGGATTCATGAAACAGCCTCCTGCCCCGTTTCTGGGCCTGGTGTCGGAACGCATTTTGACTATAAGCGCAGGTCTCCATTAGACGCCTGGTCTGGTTTTTATAGAAGTTCTTTGGATGTGTAAAACCTCTTAAACCCCGCGGGGTCGCCGCTTTAGCTGCTTCTAAGATGCTCAGATTGTTAATACAAATATTAATGTTTGAACTAGGCCTGTCAGCATTAGTCACGGTGAGATGAAGGAGCAATCATTAATTGTGTTAATCGCTTGTGTATATTACACTGTCACTGGTGCTGTTTCCAAAGAATCTTTGCTGAAAAGATCTTTGGCTGCTACTATTTTGACCCTTCGATGCACCCTTACTTGTTGTCCTGCTGCCACAGACAATTCCTACCTCCTGCTGCAGCCATGGAGATGAACAACACCACAGTCCCAGACGACTCCGTTGACAAGTCAAAAACAGTGCGCACCAAAGCGCTTCGAGCTTAAGCTAACGTTCCCATCAACGAGCTAAGCATACAGCTAGTACAGCTAATCAGGTTGATGCTAGCGGACTGAGGCAAAGCACTATTTTGGAGAGTGCAAGTCATGCACATTGTCGTCGCGGGGGACAATTGTTGCACGCATACACAGCCTGAATGAAACGGAGAAAGCAGTCAAACTGAAACTCCTACTTGAAGCAAGTGCTGTGTCATTTTGTTTCTTATGGACTTTATAATAATGTGTGTACATTTTGTGCACATTTGCTGTAGAATTTTTGAAACTGAGCTTAAGGAAGACTATATTTCATTTACATTGATTGTTTTTCCTCAGTCTCGTTGCACATTTTTTGATTTGAAGTAATCAAATCTTAAAGTCAAAGTTCAAAAACTAACTTTCTTTGCATTAATTTGATTTCCAATCAAGATACAGTGGCAAGAATTGTTATCATTGTTAATACCGACTTAAACAGTTAAGATATATAATAGTAATGATAATAGAGTTTTAATCATGTGATAAAACATTAATTATCACGATTAACTATTGAAATTCAGCGATTAATTGCGATTTAAGAATAAAATTATCTTTAGACAGCCCTAGTTTAAACGTTTGATCTATATGTCAATGTAAAACACACTTTGTTCAACTAGACAGAAAGAAACTAAATCTCTTTCTACTCTTTCTCTTTCTGAGTCTTTCTACTGTTCCAACAATCACCAGCTCTGGTTTGGTTGAAATAAATCCTTAATTCACAGTTAGATGTGAAAAGGCAGCCACAAAACGGGCTCTTTGGGGACAAACGCGACCGTCAGAAGTACATCGACTAAAAGTGCTTGAAGTGGTTTCTGGCGTGATGGGTTTTTGATTGGTCTGTAATGAATTAATGCTCTGTGTTTCAGTCTCTGCTGCGCACATCCTCCGTCTGCATGAGAGGTTTGAGTTTCTGGACAAAGACAAGAGAGGACAGCTCAGGTGGGTGGACCAACAGATCAGTTTTTGTGTTATAAACTGTAATTATTACACTCTGGACTAATTGTCCAGAAAGACAAATCAGTCAGCACAGTGGGAGAAGTGCGACCATGATGTGTGTTTCTGATGTGGCAGCAGGCGGAGGTTATGTCATAACTTTTCTCCACATTTTTTTATGCTTTCTAACCACAAAAAATAATTCAATTCAATTTTATTTATATAGCGCCAAATCACAACAACAGTTATCTCACAGCGCTTTTCATAAAAGAGCAGGTCTAGACCGTACTCTGTAAATAAGAAATGATTCTGCATCTTGAACATAATGAAACACCTCGTTAAAGCTTTTTAAAGTTCAAAACATATTTGTGCATGAAGGCTAAAACCAGGACATTTGTACTAATTCACCAGTAACGTTGCATTACCCCGTGCTAGCAGCTCCGACCACCCCTGCAGTCTTCATGGAGGTTTTAATGATCAGTGTTTGTTAAAAGGTGTTGACATCATCTCCAGGATACTTTGTGATGCTGTTGAATATTATTGTGGTGTTTAATTTCAGTTGTGGCTAAGTGATATCGGCGTACTAAAGCTGTCTTTCTCAGTCCTCAGGATTTCGGAGCACTGCCGGAGTTGGCCCTGAACCCCATCGGAGACCGAATCATCGGTGCCTTTTTCTCTCCAGGGTACAGCGGCCTGCTAATGTTTCCCTTCTATAGACTAGATTAGGGCTGCAGCTGATTTTAGTATTGAAGCTTCGATAGATTATTTCAAACAGCTGTTTGTTATTATAAAGATAACCGTTATACAGATACATAATCTGGATGAAAGGATGGATTAGCTCACGCAGGTAGCAGGGACTGTCTGAGTTACAGAGAGCTGCAGCTCCCGACACCCAGTTACCTCCTGACTGTGAGGTCACAACTCACGGGCCAACCAGGAGAACAACAAACCCACGTGTGCACATTTTCAGCTGAGGAGTGCAGCTTACTCTGGCTTCAACTAAACATCCATCATGATTTCAGTTAAATGCTAAAGTTACTGTTAGCTTGTCTGTGGTCCGCTGGCAGAACACCGGCTGCTTTCTGATCAGGCGCCGTCGTGCTGTTGCCGAGGCGACATAAGTTTTACGGTGGACGGACGGTAACGTCACAGAGTTGTTGTTTTCTTTAGTTTGAAATAATCCCAGACTTTGGACACTTTCTTCTTTGTCCCTCGCTGTTTTCTCTCTTCCTCCACTTTGAAACAGCGCCATCATAATCACGTCGCGTTCACAGCGTAAGCGCGATGTGCGACAGTAATAAATGTCCGGGCGAAACACTGTGCTGTACAGTTACATGGATTAAACGAAGCATCGTGCAAAGAATTTGTGTTGAAGCATTTTATTAATCGATTTTATCGATTTAATTGATGAATCGTTTCAGCCCTAGACTAAATAGGTTTATTAAATGACAGTAATGCTGATTTTCAAGCTTTAGTCTGTTCACCCCCCAGTTCTTCACATAAACATTGACTGTGGTCCAAGGCACACCATAGTGTTTTAGATTTCTGAACGTTTCTGCTCTCAGGCAGCCTTTGGTTGCAGTTATTTCTTTAATTTATTATTTAGTCACAAAGCTGTCTGAACTAGAAATTAATAGACCAGAGTATAATTGAATGACAACGACGTGGCAGCAGAAGGTGGAGAAAGTTGGTTCTTTTGTGAACACAGAGAAACATTAATCACAGCTGTAGTAATGTGGGCTCGGACCTTACAGCAGCTGTATTTTAGAGCAGTTTGTGCTCTGTCCTGTGGTTGTTAGTCACTTTCAACAGGAAACAGGAAACGTTTCCCTTTCCCCTCTCTCCAGACAGGAAACGGTGGACTTTGCCTCCTTCGTTCGGATTCTGGCTCATTTCCGTCCCACAGAAACAAACCGAACCAGAGATGAAGCACAGCAGGAGCCGGTCAACAGCAAGACCAGAAAACTCAAATGTCAGTCCAGTTTGGTTTGTTCTGCTTCAACTTGTGCAGTTTGTGAACCACTAATGATTTAGAGACTGTCTGTCTGTGTTTTCAGTTGCTTTTCAGTTGTATGATCAGGACAGAGATGGAAAGATTTCCAGAGCCGAGCTTCTTCAGGTCTGTAACTGTTAAACTCATCAACGTGTTTCTGCACAACACATCAGAAACATCTTAAGGTGGTAATTCAATTCAATTTTATTTATATAGCGCCAAATCACAACAACAGTTATCTCACAGCGCTTTTCATAAAGAGCAGGTCTAGACCGAACTCTGTGATGATATTTACAGAAGCCCAACAGTTCCCACCAAGAGCAGCACTAGGAGACAGAGGCAAGGAAAAACTTCCTTTAAGAGGCAGAAACCTCGAGCAGAACCATGACTCAGGGTGGGCGAGAGAGAGAGAGGGGAGAGAGAGAGAGAGAGAGAAGGGGGAGAGAGAGAGAGGGATGTAAGGAGAGAGAAAGGGGAGGGAGGCAGCCTACACAATATCCACACAGAGGTACAGACAGTGAAGGTGATGTTGCTATAAACTAAATGAAAAATGGTACAGATATTTATAGTAGTGTTAATGATAACCATCGTAATGTTAATGATTATAATAACAACAGGACTAGTAACAATAGTCGTTGCAGCAGAGGGTGTCGAGCAGGAACACGGGGGCAGCAGGTGACCCGCAACCACAGATCCAGACTCCACAGCTCCAGAGCCAGAAACACCTGCAGGAAGTGACAGGAGGAGAGAGGAGAGGGCCGAGAAAGCACAAGACTACCAGAAAGGGGAGAAGTTGTGTTAGTAACATGCAATAATGGGATGAGGTTGCATACAGAGGGAGAGAAAGTAGAGGAGAGAGGAGCTCAGTGCATCATGGGAAATCCCCCGGCAGTCTAGGCCTATAGCAGCATAACTAAGGGATGGTTCAGGACTCACCTGAGCCAGCCCTAACTATAAGCTTTATCAAAGAGGAAAGTCTTAAGCCTACTCTTAAATGTGGAGATGGTGTCTGCCTCCTGAACCCAAACTGGAACCTGGTTCCACAGGAGAGGAGCTTGATAGCTGAACGCTCTGGCTCCTAGTCTACTTTTGGAGACTCTAGGAACCACAAGTAACCCTGCATTCTGGGAGCGCAGTGCTCTGGTGGGGTAGTAAGGTACTATGAGCTCTTTAAGATAAGATGGTGCCTGACCATTAAGAGCTTTGTAGGTAAGAAGAATGATTTTAAATTCTATTCTGGATTTTACTGGAAGCCAATGCAAAGAAGCTAAAACAGGAGAAATGTGATCTCTTTTCCTGGTTCCTGTCAGAACACGTGCTGCAGCATTCTGGATCAGCTGAAGAGTCTTAATGGACTTTTTCGAGCAGCCTGATAATAAGGAATTGCAGTAATCCAGTCTAGAAGTAACAAATGCATGGACTAGTTTTTCTGCATCATTTTTAGACAGGATGTTCCTGATTTTCGCAATATTACGTAGGTGAAAAAAGGCGGTCCTTGAAATTTGCTTAATGTGGTACTGCTCACATTTTGAAGTCAGTTTCAGACTGACTGGTTTCAGGCACATTTATTTGATACCCCCCCCTCTCCCTCTCAACCCAACCAGCTGAGGTTCTGCTTGAGGTTTAAAGGTAAAGGTATTGTCTCTTAGAGACACACCTGGTGCGTCTCACACAGACGCCTAAAGGGTACCTTTAGTTTCAAATAACTACACTTTGTCACTCTTTCTCAAATCGTCGGTATATGACACCCTGAGATGAGAATGGGCTCTATCCACTGGTCCAACGTGCTGCCAAAACAACCCATTCTCATTTCAGGGCGTCGAGAAAGGACACATTGTTGAGACCCCTTGGAGTAGCTTTTTAACACCCTGGGTACCCTTTTGCGTTGTTTTTGTAAGTGTAGGGCTCCGCTGTCAAGGTCGCAAGAACGAAAATGTAGCGCCCTGTTACCCTTTCAAAATAAAAGTACTGGTTAACGTTGTGAAATGGCACATCGTTAGGTTTAGGAAAAGTAAAATAACTACATTACCTTTCTGTTATTTATAGCAGCACTTTTAGCGTTAGACAAAAAAATAGAGGGCTTCCCCCAGTGGATTGAACTATGACGCAAAAGGGTGCCATGTGCATTGGTACCAGACGCCGAAATGGATGGATTGGCAGTATATAAATTGAACTGAAAACAAACTTCCATAGAAAATTTTCAAACTACCCCTGTCCCACAGATTACTTTCTGCATTTTATGTGTTTTTGTATTTTCAGTCAAATTACAGAACATCCAACAGTTAACAATCTCTCAGGGCACCCAAACTACAAAAATCAATAGGAATGATTGTGTATCATCTGCATAGAAATTAACGTATAATGTCTGCTAATTATGTGGCAAAGAGGTAGCAAATAAATACAGAAAAGAATGGGGCGCAGAATCGACACGAGGTACACCACAAGGAAGTTTTAAGATCCAACTTCAGCAGAAACATGCCTGTCAGAGAGATTTGAACTACCTAATAGCCAAGTCATGTCCGACTTGATTACTGACTAGCGTATTGACAGGTGCTGCGGGCGATGCTGGGGATCCAGGTGACGGAAGAGCAGCTGCAGAGCATCGCTGAGCGAGCTATCCAGGAGGCTGACCTGGACAAAGATGACGCCATTTCCTTCGACGAGTTCAGGAAGGTGAGAGAGTCAACCCACAATTGGGGATAATAATCCGAACAAAAAGCAGTGATTGTTTACAGAAATTAGGTTGAATTTTAGGATGTATACCTCATAACAGATGCAAATGTATGCTCATTTATTTTAGGAAAGTAAAGTACCATTGTGAAGATGATAACCTGAATATTTAACAATAAAATAAACCGTTGTACTGTAATAAGAACTCACACACAAATTTAATTCAGATAAATACTTTTTGAATTTTTGTAAAATATAAATAAGCAATTTGCTCATTATTTAGGACAAGCATTCTTTTGCATGTGAATATGTGTTTGGGGAACACGATCAATGTTTACATCGACACATACAAACTCCTTCCACTCTTAAAGTATTAAATATTGTGAAATGTGAAAAAATATATATATATCACATTAAAAACACACTAACATCCTGGAGGATGACTCTGAATATGTACATGTAGGAAAAGAATGTAACATAACTTAAAATTAAAAATTGTTCTTATTGTGTTTTCAGTCACTGGAGAAAGTGGACATCGATCACAAGATGAGTATTCGCTTCTTAAGATAAAGACACTGCTGATGTTGAAAAGAAGGCAATCGGATGCTTGTTCTCTTTACTAAACTTGTTAGAGGAGATAAAGATTGAGACACAGCGTGTGAAATGATGTGGTGGCCTGGTGGATTCGGTCAAAGATTAAGATATCTTTTAATTGGTATAGATACATCGAAGGAGTCTAATGTGATCCTGCTACGAGTTGACACCAAAAAACATCTGCAGCGCTGAAGCACAGGGCTGTAAATGAATATGGATGATAAGATGTTCAGATAAGAGAAAGTAATCAATGAGGTGGGGCACACAGGTGGTGCAGGGCCCTACCAGCACAGAGACCTAGGATTCAGTTTTCTAAGAGTTAAGGAGAAACTAAACCACTGGACATACAACAACTAGAAAAGCAACTCAGAGTAGAGTAAGAGTAGTAGCAAGCTCTATCTAACAAAACCATGAAGCTAACTATGGCTAAGTGAATACCTTAAGAATTATATTTTAGTGTGATGAACAAAAGAACAGATACAAGTCTGTACACACTGGCACTTGACATCAATTAAAACAAATTATCTTTTTCTTTCCAAAACAGTGCTCAAACATTTCTCTGATAGTAATCAATACTCCCATATGCATTTTAAATACAAACACAACTGTCAGTCTGGTGGGAGCTGGTGAGGGATCATGCAGTTGGCTGCCAGGTCTGAACAGCGGGAGGTAACGTAAACTATTTGCAGTTGATATATTATTAGTAGAGGATTACAGACTCAGTAGTTGGAGTCTGGCCGATCACTTAAGCATCTGTCAAGCAAATAAAATGATCAGGGAGGAGAGAGGCCAAGGTGTCATAACCACATTTATCTCCAATTGATGTTTATAAAGAGGTGGTATTCTGCTTTTTGCCTTTTCCCCTCTCCTTTCTTGAGTTTATACCTTTTTTGTGCATGTAACAGGTTTGCAGAGTGAAAAAGCCCAAAGGGAGTTCCCATCTCCCACAGAAAACTCTGCTCTGAACTGAAAACAGCTCGTTTGTAGTCCGGCCGCTTGCTTTTCATCCCTGTGACGTCACAGGGATGAAAGCTAAACGCGCCTCATATAACGCTCGCCAAGCGGCGACTCCGACACGCCCTCAGAAACAGCGAGCTGCAGCACACAGCTCTCCTCTCCCTTCCAAACACTAGCTACCCTCCAGGCAGTCAGTGGACGTAAAGTTGTTCCTGTGATGTAGAGACAGAGCTCAGTTAAAACTTTATGGATACAGATTAATAACTCACCGCTCTGAAACTCTCGCTCCAGTCCGTGTTGCCGAGCCGGTTGGCAACACGTACGGCTGAACCCGAGCTGTTTACCGGCTTCTCGCTGACCCGCCCTACTCTGCTTCTGATTGGCTAGTAGTCCTTAACTAGGAACTGAGCATGTGCAACTCCCAACAAAGATCATTTAGAGACAAGATGCATCACTCCACAGCTAAAACGAAGCCTTCAACACAGGCTGAAAAGAGGAGCTGCAGCAATGTGCAGTAGGACAAAAATATAACCATGTAACATGTTGAACCTGATGAGCAGAATACCACCGCTTTAAAAAATAAAAACATCCTCATGGTATAGCTAGAGAAAAGTAACCAAAAGATTCTCCAAAGTCAGTAGGATTCATCTTCTGGGGAATGTTAATGTCTGTACATTTAACTGTACACAGGGGTGGAGGTGAAGTGGTAAGCTTGGAGAAGCTCAACCTGTTTAAAATGGCAGATGTTTATCACTTTTTGAAAGCATTTGTTAAAAATGTTCTAAAAAAACCCAAATGTTAATTAACAAAATGAATGCAATAAAACAGGTTTATTTGCACAATAAGAAAACCTACAATGCAATGTAAATATAGAAGAAACATCTGTGTTGTCCAGAAATAATCTTAAAAAAAAAAAAAGCTACTACTGCTTATATTCTATTATATTTTTATATTCCCTCTATTTAAAAAAAACAAACATTTCCACCATCAATTGATGCAGAAAATGTCTCAAGAAAGCAGGAAATTAAGTGTTTAATGCTATAAATCTTATAAAACCCCCAATCTTATATTTCATCAATAGATATATATTTTTTAAGAGTATTTAAATATGCTCTTGTCTTGTTCTCATGACCTCAATCTTGTGCTATGTCACGTCTCGTTGGCAAATTGTTTCGTCACACCCCTAATATGAGCCCTTAAATGTTGCCACCACTTTTCAACACATGCACATACTACTCAGCTGGTTTGGGGGACTTTACAGTAGGTACACATGTTACATGGAAGCATGGTGTGTTGGTGAAGGATGTCCGACCGATGGGCTAAAAATGCCAGGGCCAGTCCAGCCCTGCTTGTACATTAGTCTTTGTGTGTGAAAATTGTATTGGAAGCAGGCAGAAATGAAAAGACAGTCTCACGCTGTGTCACTTGATCTGCCACTAGATGCAGCTCAGCACCAGCAGGTTGGAGCTGAGAAAAGAATAAACAGCCAATGACAATTCATTGCAGCTGCGTTTAAACTGTTGCTGTTAAAATGTGTCACAGCAGTAAGACAAGAAGTCTGTCTCCAGCCAAATTTTACTTTTGTTGGAGAATTTGATGCATTGTTAAACCTGCTTGTTGAGAAATGTTAAAATGAATGTAAAGGTTGGAGCGGTCCGCCTACAACAACATGTCTTTGTGAGAAATTGAATGTAACTAGTTCCCACATCTATGCAATTACAATGAAAACAAATATTAAATAACTTTAAACTCATGTCCCGCATCAGAGTGAGGTTTCTTTTGCCTTGTCCATCAGCAGTTTCCTTCACATGATTAGAAACAGGACAAAGTTCTGTGTCTTGTGTTTCATGATCTGTGTCCACTGAATGTTTAGATTCCATTTCACAATCCAGCTTCCCCCCCACTGATTTTAAACCATGTGTTTGTGTTTTACGGACTGTCTAACCGACTCAACATTCCTGCAGACGATGAAGGGTGAGACTGAGGCTTTTTGTCAGAAGCTGAAATGAAGAAGTATGAGAAAATGCTAACAGTCTTATTTTGATGTTAAATTTAGCTCTTGTGTCTTGGAGAAAGATGTTTCCTTTCCTCTGGGAAGCCTTGGGTTATTCCTGGTTCACCTGTGGTCTCATCGCCAGCCGTGTGTGTGTCACAACGCAAATTTCTACAAATCTGAATATTTTCCTCATTTGTACATACACACACATTTAGTGTGGATGCTCCGCAGATTTTTCTAAATGAGACCCCAGGTGATTATGATGTTTGATTTCAACATAAATATATAAATCCATCAGTGACACTGGATTATCTCTTGCTGTCAGCTGTTTTAAAACATAAAAAGTAAAAATTATACTATGTATTGACTTATTTCCATCTGGTTCGCTGCTGCCACTGCCAGGGACAAGGGCAGGCTGCAGCGCATCATTCGCTCTGCAGAGAAGGTGATTGGCTGCAAACTTCCTTCTCTTGTGGACCTGTACGCCTCCAGGACTCTGAGGCGAGCAGGAAAGATTGCAGCTGACTCCTCCCACCACGGACACAAACTGTTTCAAACTCTCCCCTCTGGCAGGAGGCTGCGATCCATCAGGACCAAAACCTCTCGCCACAAAAATAGTTTCTTTCCGTCTGCAGCCTCATCAACAAGACCCGGGTCCCCCACTGACACTCCCCCCTTAAAATAATACAATCGTCTCTGCACATGTAAATATCACATCATGGACAAACCTGCCACGTCGCACATATTTGTTGTTAATTGTTAATGGTTGTTGTTCTATATTTTTATATTGTCAATTTATATATTTATGTTGACAGTTCTCTCTTCCGCTTCACAACACCAACCTGAAAATAATGCACATGTAAATATCTGCCACATTATTCTTTCTCTGCAAATGTTGTATTATTTTTCTCTATTCTTTTTATTATTCTTATATAAGTTGCATTGTTTATTCCATATTTATATATTTCTACATTTATTTATGGCAGCTGTATGTCTGTCTGCGTGTAGCACCTCATCACCACAGGATATTCCTCGTATGTGTAAAACACTGCTTGGCAATAAAGCTCATTCTGCTTCTGATTTTTTTTTATTCTGTCAGTTCATGTCTTATTTTTCATTTCCTTCTTGAGTTCCACATAATTTCATTGCAATTTCAATTGTGTCCTCTTGTCCTGTGTATAGTCTGAACAACAAAGATCCGTTGGGTCTCACCTGTTCTGGTTGAGGATCCATTTTTAATGCAAACCAACGAGATGAAGCAACTTCAGCTCCACACTCGACACATGAAGTTGTTTAACTAAAGTTCAGGAACAGGACAACGCCCCTCTCTCTCTAATCCAACCACCTTCACTCATTTTATCCACCTGTGCCTCTCTAATCCAATTACCTGCACATACTGTACGTATATAAGTCTGTCTAACCCTTCCTCTCCTGTTTCTCAGTCTTTACAAACCCTGTTTCTCACCTCGTCCAATGGGCAGCTCTGTGGCCTCACAGCAAGAAGGTGCTTGGTCCAGACCTCGGTCAGCCCCGGCCTTTCTGTGTGGAGTTTGCATGGGTTTCCTCCCACCGTCCAAAGACATACGTGCTAAAATTCATAATTCCGCCAGAGAGATTGTTCTTTTTCTACCACAGGAGGTTGATAAGAAAGCTGTTTTTCGAGATGAACCCCCACCCTGAATCTTAACCCCCGTGTTCCTAGCAGCTCCGGCCACCAAACCCTAAACAACCCCCCCTTCATCCCAGTCCTCTCAACCCCTCCATCAAAACTACTCATCATCCAGATTGAAGATTGACCTCACTTCTAATTTTGTGCGCCCCTTAAATTTTCAACGTAAAGTTCCACCTAAATGTTCGACATTTTTGTGGCAGACCTAGGGCGGCACGGTCAGACCTTTCTGTGTGGAGTTTGCATGTTCTCCCCGTGTCCGCGTGGGTTCTCTCCGGATGTCAGCTGGGATTGGCTCCAGCCCCCCTGTACGCAGGATAAGCGGCTGACGATGGATGTAATAAACATAAGAAAGCTTCTTGAACCCTAATCCAAGAGAAAATCACCCATTTTGATTTGGAAGTGCAAATTTAGGCCATTTTAAACCATTCACAAGCTCTATACTGCAGAAGCACTTTGATCAGCTTCACATTTGTGTGCCCGTGGCCTTCAGCATTAATTATCCAATCTGCCCAAACTTCACGTTTAACAACACTCCCAGCCCTTGAAGGAATTGTCAGCTCGGACTCATGGTCGTAGCGCCACCTACTGATTTGATTAACATGAAATTTTGTCTGTGTGGTCCGCGCTTGATAAACTGGAACATTGCAAAGGTACGAAAATCTTCGATCTCAGCCCAATTAATTCCGACACCTGAGAGTTTCAGAGGCTGTTCGACTGTCCGACAAGAACTTTCACATACTGACACCTGAAGGCCCGACAGGCTTTTATGCAGAAGTTTCCCCTGCGCACATTTTGCGTGCGATAAACATGAATGTAAAGCTATTGTTTAATCTTTTTTATTTCACCCTGGAGATAGCAGTCAAAGAAAGACGGCAGTAGTGGTGCAATAACTTTTATAACCACTAGGTGGAGCCATTGCTAAATATTTCCTGTAATATTTCCTCTTTCTGCGGCAGCCAGTGGTGGTAACATCTGGAGAAGATGAGGAACGTTCATTTGCACCCCCCAAACTCCACTTCATTCTATTTTAATGGGAAACAGTTGTGATTTCTCTTGGAGCCACATTTGCCTTTTGTTGTCATCGTGGGATTTGTTCTATTCCTGCTTTTTGTTTTCTCAGTTTGTTTTCGTTCCTGCTCTTTGAAGGACGGAGGTCAGGACTTAAATGTTTCCCTTCTTGTAGAGACTCTGCTGGCTTACATTTCACAGAAATATATCGGCTCATTTCACTCAGCTACCTCCTCCGCCTCTTCACTCTGGTTGAAGATCTTTGAGTTTTGGGCCTTGAAGGCTCATGGAGGACAACATGGATACAGATTAGTTTAAGAACCCACCTTTGATTCTGAAATCTTGGTGGATGGTGATCTTGTTCCACTAGTGTATACGTTGAAAATGGTGCTATCATTTATATCATCTTCAACGTGGTAACGTTTACTCTGAGTATGTTTAACTGACCTATTTTGTTCTATAAGCGCCTCTTTACACATAATTCTACTTTTATTGAGTGACGTAACTCTTTCCATCCTTCTCCGTCTCTTCAGTGGAAAAACCATCATAACAAAAAGATAATTAACTTTGTTTGGTTGAGTACCAATAATCTTGCCTCTTCATTCAAGTTCTGTCGTCACAAACCAGAAACACACAAATGAAACTCTGCAGGCATCAAATTAAACATCTTTTAAACTTTATACATATTCATCGTTGCCATGATGAAAGTAGGACGGCTTGTGATAAAATCAAGTGGAATCGTACACAATAAACGTAAGCGTTAGACGGAGGCGAGCGTCATTCTCCGTGCCAAAGGCCGAGCCCGGGGTCGTTTCTTCTCTATCCTTTCCTCTGAGGCATCGAAGCAATGAGCAGCCAGTACAGAGAGTAGCAGGTTCCTGTAGAGAAAACAAACCCACACATTTCACTTTCACTTCTCAATAATTATTCATTTATTTTGAATTTACTTTTATCATCAGAAGAAGTTCGGGTTTTCCTTTTTCACCAACAAAGAGACGCTCAGAAGGTGGTGAAAATGGGGAAAAAAGAAAACCGTGGTGGACGAGGTGGAGGATGAAATGAAGAACTGCAATTATGAGGACAAGAAAAAAGGCTTGTTTGAGCCTGATATGTCTGACTCCATCCTGGAAGAGAAGTTACACCAGTTTTGCTTGATTAAGATTGATGAAATGTGCATCTGGAGCAGACGGGTGTGAGGAAAAGTCAAGGGCCTGACTGCTTTGAAGCTGTGCTCTGATCTTGTGTGGCATTTTTACATTTATTTTCCAATTGTCTTATAACAGTATAAAGTTTCCATGTCACAGAAAGAATCCATTGCTGTTGCGTTGGCCGAGGTTCCATCATCGAAAGGCTTTGAATGATTTTGGCCCCGCGTTGCTCTTACTTCATTATTTATAAAAGGTTTTGAAGAGGACTGATACGGAGTGAAAACCGGATCTCCCCAGGGGTGCCTTGAAATTGTTTGTGCTCTACACTAATGACTGGAGAATGTTTAGGTCAAGGTTCATAATCAAGTTTTGAAAGCAGCAACGACTCACACTCACAACTGAGTGTCTCTAAGACAAAAGAGATGCTAATTGACTTTCGCCGTCATGCACACGCTTTGGAGCCAGCAAAGCAATACAGGTATTTATGCACCATCCTGGATGGCAGGGATGGACTGGTAACAGGGACGTGCACAGGAATTTTGAAGGGCAGTTGCTCTGACCTGAAAAAAGGCACTAAACACAGTATCCAAAATGTATTAACAATATAAATGTCACCAAAATACATATGAGAAAAAGAGTTCCTTATATTATTGTTTATTGTTTTTTTTAATCATTATTATTTTTTATTTTTTTCCTTTTTTTTTTTATTTGAAAATAAATAATCTAGATTGAATTGACAGATGGGGAAAACTCGCTTCTAATAAAATATTAAATAAAAAAACGCTTAGATTTCGGAAAAAAATACAATCCTTTTTTAACCTTTTGGCTTCCCGTACATTCAGTTGCGCTTCTAGCTCGTATTCACTTCTGTTGGTACGTATCACGTATGGTAACTGGGCAAAACTACGCATGATTTGTTGTAGTATGATTGCATAAAGGAAGGAAACAGGAATTCCGGTAGGGAACAGAATCGACTGACGTGCAGGCAGCGCTGCAGCAGTGCAGCCACTTAAACAGAGTTTGCTCTTCCCCTGCTGAATGGAAGTGAATGAGGCTTTGCGATCGCGATTATTTTTTTATTTTATTTTTTTTTCTCGGAAGGGCAACTTGAGTCAGGAAAGGCAAACGGGCAGTTGCCCGGGCAACCAGAGCAACCCCCCTGTGCACGTCCCTGACTGGTAGTCTGGCATACCGGGCAAATGCTCGGGGGGCCGACGCACCTCTGGGGCCGGTAGGTTATAACAAGGGCGACACTTTGTGTTGAAAAGTGGTGGGAACATTTTAAAGGCTCATATGAGGGGTGTGACGACACACTTAGGCCGCGAAACATGAGAAATATTGGAGTCTCGAGAACAAGACAACAAGATTCTCTAATGCTATTTAGAAGAAATATTCATCGACGAAATTGGCAATTCGATTTTGAGCATTAGACTCTTGATTTTCTGCATCAATTTATGGTGGACATTTATATGAAGGGAAACACAATTCATTATATAATAAAAATATTATTGAATATAATTGGTTTTTTTGGACATGGCAGATCTGTTTCTTCTATATTTAAATGATGTTTTCCTGTTGTGCAAGTAAACCTTTCTCATAGAATTTTTATTTGCTATTTACTTTTAGCAAACGTTTTCAAAAAGTGGTGGGGAGATGTCCCACAGCATTTGTTAAAAATGTTCTAAAAAATAGCAACAAGAAATGTTAACTAACAAATGAAAATGCTTTTTTATATTCTGATTTGTCACCGGCCACCTGAATTTTGTTTCCTTTTTTATAAATAAAGATATTTCCACCATAAATTGGTGCTGAAAATGTCTCCAGAAGGCAGAAAACTAAGTGATTAAAGCTAAAAATCTTTTGGGGGAGGAGCCAAACCCAGACCCCACCCCTTCCTCCAAATCACATATTTCCTAACATCTCTTCTTGTCTTGTTCCCGTGGCCCCAATATTGTGCATCATCACGTCTGGTAGGGTTTCGTCACACCCCTAATCTGAGCCCTTAAATTCCCCCACCACTTCTCAGTAAAGCGATGCCCTCGGGTAGAGATGTGCAAACCATAATCACAACGATGATGATTACCTCAGTTAGGTCAATGATGATAATATAATCGCAATGCTGTCATAAATGCCGCTGATCACTCACTGTCCAATAGCACAGCGTGAGCTATGTCACATGGTTTATGTAGCATAGTTCCTCAGTGTACTCACACTGATCCACTTGCACTGTTAAACTCATCCACGGCACTTACTACTCAGCTTTGTTTTGGGAAAGTCTTACAGTATATTTGAAAGAACTGCAAGGATGGTGTGTTGGTGAGGAATGTCCGACTGATTGTTGTGGGCCGCCTGGACCAAAAGCGCCCTGCTGGATGACTTTCATTGCCAAAACTAACTCCATCTGCAAAAAGCCGATTAAGAACGCTGACAGGTCGCTTATGAAAATGTTTTATTCATCTTTTGTCGAGTCACTTTAAGCTTTTGCAATTATTAGTTGCTTTGCCAACCTCAGGGTAGGTAACAAAAGGGAAATATTATTAAACATTGTCAAAGGACATTTGGCACCAGCTTGAAAGATCTTGGCCATAAAGTGAGGACCACTCATAAAAAAGGCCAAATCAAACAGATATGCTGTTTGATTCTCACACAAGCTGACACATTTTAACAGAAAGTTGTTGGACTCTTAGATTTTCTTTACCTCATTGCAACTTTATAATGATGACATCTACCAAATGGTTATTATATGTGTTTCTGTTTTTATTGGTTGTGTTGAGTAAAGAGTCCCTGAACGGAGAAAGATGGAATTGACATTAATTGCTGTTTCAGTCAGATAAGCTGTTGAAAGCTGAATGTTCCAATGAAAAGCGTCATTTCAAAAGTAGAAAGAGTTCATCCAGCCAAACCACCCACGCCTGTTTGAAGAAGAGATCCTTAAGTATTCAGGAATCTGCCAACATTTCTTACTGTTGCAACTTTTCAGACCACGCTGGCGAATCTGATCCTGAAAAGTCAGTTCATGTTACCTGCTAAAGTGAGTGTCATGGTCGCCCGGTAGAGCAGGACGTCCCCGGTTCCTCCCTTGATGTGGACTGGCAACCCGTTGTCCTCCTAAAGCAGTGCAAACCACATGGGGAGAGCAGAGTATGCTAATTTGTCAGCATGGAAGCTAGTATCACTCAACACAGTGGGCTCACCAGAGGTTTGGTGATGTGATTAGGGGAGACCGGGTGTGTTTGCAACACTTTTTGCTTCAGCAACTATGACTCACTGAATTTTTTAGCTAGACTTTTAAACAAAGTACCCACATCTGTTCACTACAAGAACATCGTGAGTTGATGTCAAATGCATTGTGTTCCCTTGTTACAACCTGCCCCGATACTGATTCTTACCTCAAAACTGTTTTTCTCTCTACATATTCTGAATGAACCTGTTTCCAGACCCACCGTGCATCACCTGACTCTCTTATCTCTAATTGGTGGAATTGGTGTTACCATACCCCGTCTCTCTTATACGACGTATTCTGTGTACAGGTGGATTTACTGTGGCTACATTTAGCCACAGACACACGAACATGTCTCACGTTTCACGTTCTGCAGTGAGGCTTCAGTCGATCACTCTGCTGTCTGTACCGTAATGTCCCTTTCCCTGCTGTCGTTCCTTTAGCTTAAACAACCAGACGCTTTCGGCGGTCAGGGCTCCGTGTCACAGGGTGTTTTCAGTGGAAGTTGGCCGAGGGGTTGTAGATTAATAATAGTCTGTAAGACCTTTTTCTCGCCTCTAAGCCTTTCTGTTGATGTGGAAAAATCACCGCCAAACTCCACAAAAGGGTTTCTGACACTGAGCTGTGGGATGCAAAGAATCTGAGAGGTGTTGTGTTTGATATTCGTTGTCCGCAGAGGATGAATCCTGCACTGCGAAAACTAAAATCTTAGTAAGATTAATTATCTGAAGGCAAAATAACAAGATATTTCTTCTTACCAGGCGGCTTTTATGTGAGAGAAGTTCACTTGTTTCAAGTATTTTTGGCTTTATGTAGCAAGTGAAATATTCTTGTTCTGTTGGCAGATAATTTTGCTTATTTTAAGTAATATTTCCCCCATTTTAATGCTATTTTTTCACATTTTTGAGAGCTGACTTTTTGCAGTGTGTTGATTTGTGTGACATCCTGACTTTTCTTCCTTTTCTGTTCTCTACTGCTTGTTTACCTGGAAAAACTTCTGGGCCTCGGGGACTTTGTTCTTCAGCTGTCTGGCAGAGCTGCTGAAGGCCCGGCCAAACAGAACTGGAACTTTCTGGAAACGCAGAGAAATGGGAAGATATTTTACAGAAAGTTCAGTGTCGTGTTTAAGAGATTTGCCTGCAGTGGAGATTTTAACTGAGCCTCTCTCTGCTGATCTGACAGATGACCGATACTGGAGAGAGCAGAGGAGGGAGGGTTTTTCTAGGACAGTTTGCAACTCCTCCTCCTCCTCCTCCTCTTCGTCCTCCTCCTCCTCCTCCTCCTCATCTGCTGCTACCTCTTCTTCCTCCTCTTCCTCCTCCTCATCTGCTTCTACCTCTTCTTCCTCCTCCTCCTCCTCCTCCTCATCTGCTGCTACACTTGAATTTATGAGCAAATATCTCATCTTGCTCTGTAGGTGTTTTCCAGGGAATGGCTGAAATCCTTCTGGCATAAACATGTCGTCATGCATGTGGCTGCAATCATTCCCCTGAAACTTCTGCATACTGTAACTTTATTTGCCTTAATGACAGGCAGGCCATGGAACAGGCTGCTATGAATTAAATAAATATACAACATTTTATTTATACTTTATATTACATTTATTTATGCATTTTTTTTATCTTTCAACGGCCTTTACGCTCAACCTTAGGTAACCACTACTGAATTTCACTAACATTGTTCGTATATGTGACAAAAAAAGTGCATCTCAAGAAAAGTTCATTTAAACTTCACTGAACCAGACTGAGATTAAAGGCTCAGGAGTAGAGAAATGTAAATACATTTTGAGATGCTAGAGTTTTGATTGATCATCAAGATTACAACAAAAAAAGCTTGAAATATTTTACAACGTGTAATGAACCTAGAATATATGTATAAACTATTTTTTATATACATAATTTTAATTAATTAAGCTTTTGTATGTAGTACTTTTACTTCTTCCACCACCGTATGTACTTCTACACGAATCCATTGTCTCCATGATTACATTTTTTGCTTTAAATAGCACAGCCGTTTATCCCATTGTGTTTCAAACATTACTTCAACTCGAACACGATGTTTTCCATGCTTTTCATTTTTTCCACCTCTTTCCGTGTGTCAATTTTCTTGCAAAAGTATTCTTACAAGTACATATTCACCACTTTTGTTTTTGTAGTTGCAGGATGCTTTAAAATAATGAAAATGCAAGTTTAGGCTCCCATAAAACTCAAGATTTTCCTTTTTTAAAGTCTGTTAATTCTTGAATCTGTGATTCTACAATTGTTTAATGATGGAACTTGTGATACTGCTAGTTGTGATAGTGACAGACTTGTTGGGTGAAAGGGGAAGGGAAAGTGTGTCATTTCTGTTTCCAGGCCCACGAGGCTGCTGGGAGCTGACGTCTCTCAGACCAGGTGTAGCCTCACTCTGTCTGTTGGGAAACTGAAACTGTATATTTGTTATTTCTGTAACCTTAGTTAATGTCCTGATTTAAAAGTGACTCTCTTTCTCTGTTCCTTTTTTCCATTACACAAGACTTCACCACTGGGAGCCAAGCTGCGGTCAGTCTGAACCCTGACTCTCGGCCTCCTTTACAACCAGCAGCATTTACAATCAGTATATCAGGCCCAGACTGTACTCTTTGTAATATTATATTATATTCATCTTTATATTCTCGCCATGACCGATTGCAGCGTTTGAAGAAGACCAAAACCTCTTTTCTAAACCGTTTGTGTGGGATTAGTGCACATTTTTATGGTTTTGGAACCATTATTTTCATATTTGGAAAACAATGACTGCATTGTTAAAATACTCCCACACACAATCCAGGTTCTTGTTTGCTCAGATTACCAGTGTGAATCAGCAGGCCTGATGTTTGAACAGGGTCTGTTAGTGATTTAAAGTGAACCCGTATGCTCACTTGCCATATTTCTATCATATATTCATCATGTTTTTATCACGTCTACATGTTTTTATAGTGTTTTCATCATATTTTTGTCATCTTTTCTTTATATTTTTGTTATATTTTCATCATGTTTTTGTCATATTTTCATTATCTTGTCATATTTTTGACCAGTTCGTCATGTTTTCCTGTTTTCATCACATTTGGGGCGACAGAGATCTTTACAGACTAATACCAAAGTATAACGACTGAGGCTATAAATTATAAATAATTATAATTACACATTGAAACTAGTATTTTTGAATACGGTCGGCATTTTCAACATGTTGAGTGGACTAGTGATGTTCTACTAATTAGCAGCAGCAAACAGACTTTGAGAGAAACATGATGCTAACTGAGCTGTTTTTGAGCAACACGATGAAGAAATGATTTATTTAACTGCAACATTTGCTTCAAAGCATAATAGGTGGGTTTCATGGTTGAGTGGTCAGGAGACCGCAAAAGCGCTGTATAAATAAAGTCCAATTACCACGTATGGTTCTGTTTAAACACTCGCTGCATGTGGTTACGGTTCAGGCAAGATGGTGGTCTTGGTTAAATAATGAAAAAGTCAACAGTGACTTTATTGCCTGAATCTGATTACACGCTGGACTCAGGATGTAAATTTTAGTCTCTGGTATTTAAAGTCCTACACTGTATGTTTTAATGCAGTACATTGAGCAAATACTACTATTGAAAATATACAAGTAAAGGATGCAGGGCTGCATTTTTTCCATGTGATTAACAAATCAAATTAAGAAACCAAGTTTCTGCTGCCAAAGCAAAGAGCAAATGTTAAGACAGTTTTGCAAAGAAATGTCCCGAAGACAAGAAATGACTCTCTGACCAAAACCCAGATAGTTACTATGAAAACCTGACCACCCAGATCCAGCACATACAGGACCAAACATCTGGAATTAGAGCAGATACATGGAACTGATCAACTTCTAAATGACTGGCGAGCTCGTGTGGGAGCTGACTGTGGATGAACATTTGTAATTGCTCTCAGCCTGAGCTGCTTTTGTGCAAACTAACCTCCAGGCGCTGCGTGTCTGGAAGCGTAACTTTCCTAGATTTTATTTTGGAATGAAACACTTAAGTCTGTCTTCTAAAGAAAGCTACTTTTTAACCATCTGCCAAGGTCACGTCGGGCAGCTGCAGGCATGGCTGACACAACTGACAGCCAATCGTCTGAACCTGACACTTCAGCCAATCAGGAGACAGAGAGGGGAGAGAGAGCCCGCTCACTTCTCTGTGTGTTACAGGGGTAAACTGTGCCAAACAGCCAGCAGTCATTTCCACGGTGGAGTCTGTTTGCAGTCAGGCGGTTTTCCGTCGCTGCCATGAAGTTGCCCCGATGAAAGATCCTCTAGTCTATATAAACAACTGAGGCCAAACCGAGACAGTTTGGACAGCGTGGACACTTGCAGATATTATGGACACAAAGATTTTGTGGAACAGTATGAGCTGTCGTATCCCCATGTTTCCTTTGGGAATGTGTGGTTGTGTGGCAAAATCTGTTCTCTGCTGTGAAAGTACGATCTTAAATCAAGTAACTTTTACTCTCTAAAATGTTTCCCGTAAAGGCAGTAATTAGGTTTTTCCTCAGAATGCAAATGGCACAGAAGATTAGTCACACATGCTGTCTGAGCTCTAAGTGTAAACAAGGTTGTCATGACATTGTCTTGATGTGATCATACTGGATATGAAGTGTTCATAGCTGTTGGAGAAGGGAGACGCGCCATTGTCTAAACGTGGGGATAGCTGCGCAGACTTTCAGACATCCGTAGTGTGGCACTCAACAACACTGACTTTAGACTTAGCCACGCACATCTGACCAGTCACGATGAAGGGGGGGTTAGTTGTCGTGTTCAGAAAGTTGAAAAAATGATATCGCAGAGTGTCAGGTTCAAGAAGTCCTGCCACAGGTTAAATATCTCTCAGCGTGTGAGCATTTAATAGCTGGAGGTCTGCTCACTTCTCACTAGAGTAGTAAAAACTTCTTATTCTATTTATATATCGTTTATTCTATTCTTCATGTTCATTAAATGAATGTCCATTGAACTTGTTCAGTCCTAAAATTGCTCAGAATGACAGACAGTTTGAACACCTGCCGTCCAGTGACAACTGAGCAAACTTCATCTGCTGATGAAGACCCTGTGAAACAGTGGAAAGCGCCGGAATAAGCCAGTAAGTGGACGTTAATTTCATCTCTGTATGTTTGTTTTTATCTCTCTGAAAGGAGGATGTGGTAACAGTGGTAGTAGAACTTCTTCTTTCACTAAAAGTATCAATACAACAAAGTAAAAGTACTCCATTACTAGTAGAAGTCCTGCATTCATTACCTAAGTGAGTAAAAGTACTCAGTCTGCACAATGGCGTGCTACATGATTATGTATTACTGGGTTATTATTGATTAACATAACATGTTTAATGTTGCAGCTGTACGTTACATGTTGGGAATTTAATCTGTACGATGCAACATGTTTTATAAACTGATCTCATGATATGGATGTAAAATATTAATCTGAAGTACCTTCAAATTAAATAAAGTATCTGAGCAGCGTACTAATATACTGACGATCAATTGACAGACTCACGCTAACATGTTAGTGCGGAATAACATTCTGTGTTTGTGTTTCTGCAGGTTGAGCACGTTGCTGTCTGTTAGTGTGTACGTGCTGAGCGGCATTAACCCTCTAACAGCAGATGTTGCAGGTATGAGATAAAGTGAAAACAGAGTGCCGGAGAGAGAGAGAGAGCAGGTCACATGAGGTGAGTAAATATAGATCACGTCTTTACCTCCTACGACACCATAAACGCCACACTGAGGCCCAGCAGGCACAAACACAAGAAGGAAAATACAGACAGTGAACGCTTTACACTTCTGGCCTACACAGTACAAAGGTCAGGCCCCATAACTTGCCTCACTTTCTGCACAAATACACTGACTTCTCTATCTTTTCTCTGCCCAACTTTATCTTTTCTACCTTTAAAGGAGTCAGAGAAACACACAGAGCGAGAAAAGAGAGAAGGCTTTGAGGAAAGAGAGAGAAAAACAGTTGTAGTTACCAGAAAGTGATTCATGTCTGTGTCGGTGTGTTGAGCTGTGCTGCCTCGCTTCACCCTGACAAGGACACGCACACCCACACAAACACTATCAGTTTTACTGGATCTCGGCCAAACTACGATCTGCTGTAGAGGCCAAACAGTCTGCGCTCTGCAGCACACGGGAAGCAAATTCAGCTGTCGCTAACCGCGGTGCCGCAGGAAAACTGTGACGTATTGGTGGTCAAAAACAGCAGGAAATTTACTTTCAGGCACATTTCTGTTGTTATTTTTCCTTGTTGTGTTTTCAGTAGACCAACTGGAGGAAACCCAAAGCTGTTTAAGTGTTGCTGTGTGGGTCTGAGCAGAGCCCCACGCTGTCTATCTGTTTTAATTATCTTCATGGCTGTTTCAGGGAGGACGAACAACTACAGTGGAGAACAAACGTGACCATGCAGGCACCTGAGCCATGTTTAATAGACCTTTGAAGTGCTGACTTTCAGCTGTAATTTGAGTTGACATCCATTTTGTGTCAACTATGCTGAACTTGCTTCAGGCAGGACTGTGATCGATTACTATTAATTACCTATGTTGAGGGACTGAATTAGGCAGATTCTACAGCTGCAGGGAAACGTCTGCGAAACCTTTGGAATGATAAGATAAGATAAGATGTACTTTATTGTCCCCGAAAGGAAATTTGCTTTGGACTCTGTCCATTCTGCAGCTTTACAAGACAACAAAAAACACAGAAATAAATCTCTCACACATATTCTCATGCACCACAACACATGCTGTCACATACATCAGACAGTTACCTTTATAGTAGCACAGTGACTCCTTCTACCAGTTCTGATTGAACAACCCTGTCGGCTGCATTCCCCGCAATGCAGAACAACCCCAACAGCCTACATATTGCACAAATGACACATTTCACATAACCTGTGCAATACTTGATGACATACTGAACAATCCAGCAGCCTACATGTTAGTGTTGATAAGCTTAATGGACATAGGCACAAATGAGTGTTCATCGGTTTAGCCTGCATTTAGGAACACTAAATCTTCTACCAGAGGGTAAAAGCTGAAATGCCTTTGTTTCAAACACCATCTCCTCAGTCTTGGTCACATTTAGCACAGGACAGTTGTCCTCACTGGACAAATTTCCCTATGATACGCTGCTGGGCTTCTATCTTTGTGCATAAGGCCGAGGATCGCGGTACCGTCTGAGAATTTGATAATATAATTGTCAGCGTGGACCGAGCAGCGTCAAATCTCCACTTTCCTGCCGGTCACACTGAACGTTACAGACAGGCTGCGCTGTAACGCAGGCTGAAACATGTCTTAGGTGTGGACATTATTCACACACCAACGCTCACTACTCCTGCAGAGGAACACAGAAAGAGACGCGGTGGACCGTGTCAAGCAGGGAGCAGGTGAAGCAACACTGCTGGTGACGATCAGCATTCAGACCACGTGGTCTCTGTCGGTAATTAACAAGAAGCCTCCTCCACGCGCGGCTCATCTGCTGCTGGGAAAAACCAAACATGAGTTCTTTTAAATAAAACTGCTGACAGATAAAGTCAGAGCAGCCAGACAGACAGACAGGTGCAGGTGAGCAGATTACTGTAGTTTGTGATTAAGCACAAAAATAAATTAGAATTAAAATGGGGTGCACTTTATTTCCAGTGAACTCCCATCGTAGTGCAGGTCACAGATCTTCATCTCAGTCACAACAATAGACAAACACAGTCTGCTTAAACTAAAGCGACACAAACAATTACATGTTTTATTGAACACATTCACAGTGCAGGGTGGGGAAAGTATGTGGACGCCAATGACTTCAGGAGTCAGCCAACTTGAAGTAGCATACATTACATACACACATACATTTTGTGGTCTAACAATTTCTTCAGAAATGCAGCTCATTTAAAGGCTTCACATAATTTTTCCTGCAAATGTATATTTTTCTTAAGCTCTGCCCAAAGCGTAAACTGTGCTCTGCCGATCAGACTCTGTCGGCTCAGAAACAGTCTGACTGTCTCTACGTGTCATGAGCGATTAAAAAAGGGAAAGCAAATTCACAACGTAGTGGAGCTAACTAGCAGAGTTTGAGGAGCAAAACCACACATCAACCACATCAACGCCAGCATTCCCATAAACACCCACACGTCCCAACTCCTTTTCATCACTCTTGCATTCTGCCCCCCCCCACCACCACCTTTCTCTGTCCTGCCTCCTGATCTCCTTCCTCCTCTCCATACGGCGGATTTCCCTATCGTGGCTTCCCCACAACGCTTGAAATGTCTCTTCAGCAACTGCAAGCCTCGTACATCTTTCTGTCTGGATCATCAGTAAATCACTTAATGGTACCTGTTGAGTGTGCGGCCCTTGCTAATGAAATGTGAACCAATCCTTGGATTCACCGTCTCTCTGCTGGTTCTTAGATTAAAGATCATTTCAAAATTACATTAACAAAGTTCCTCCTGTCGTCACACAGGTTGCATGTTGAACTAGACAAATATGATGAGATAAAAAATGAACCTTCATTGTTCCCAGAGGGAAAATTCATTCATTGCATCGACACAAATATTTAAACAGGTACATGTAAAACTATAATTGGCAGAATCTGCAATTAAAATAAGACTAGATATAAAATTAGAAACTATGCAAGAGCAATTAAACTTCCAAGGCAAGCAGCTGAGTTTGACCACGAGGACACACAGAGGTGCTGCCAGGTCCAAATAAACATGTAGTCTGATCTCAGTATTATCTGATTCTCCTGTCTTGTGTCATGCTTGTGTTAGGACAATACTTCCCATTGTGGTCAGTTAATTGTTGGTTTTGGTCTTTTCATGTGACTAATTTGAAGGTTCAGTTTGTCAAACGTCCCCTCTGACTCCTGCCAGGTGTTTGTTCCCCTCACACACCTACGCACACGTTTATTCTGTGCAAACCACAAAATCTCGGTCTGAGATTCACTTCCTATTTTTCCCGAAATGTGAGTGAGAGTGAAGCTTTAACAGCAGCTCAGTGCAGCAGCAGCAGCTGTCCGGTAAGTTTGTCAAATCTTCCCTCTGCAATAAGTTAGAATAATGTCATAATATAGATTGTATCGCATTATCTATTGTTATGACTGCATTATAGAGTAATAAAGAAGTGTACTATTAAAGCACCAGCAGAGGTTCCTCTGATGTCTGAGGGGTGGTGAGATGATTAATGGGAGAGGAAATAAGAAAAAAAAAGACCCAACCTTCTAAAAAAAACAGTTATTGAAATGAAAACGTGTGAGAAGTTTAGAGGGGAAATTTTTTTGTGTGTAAATCTGATAAAAACTCAGACATCTGAAACGTGGCGAGGAGAAGCAACTATCAACCCTGCGTCACGCCAAAGAGCATCTGGCAAAACGTCCCACCGACACGGCGTCCTCGAGTAGATTTACACACTTTAGAGACAGTTTTCTACACAATCTTAACAATGTGTTGGATTGTATAAACTTATTTAACTTAAAATCTTATTCTGAAGAGTAACTGTCAGTACAAGAGTACAAGTACAAAGCAGCATAAGATGGAAATCTGGGTGATCCTGGGACAAAATCTTCGGTGGTCTAATTTGGGTCAGTTTAGGGGTCCTTGATGAGAATAAGTTAGTAAAGTTCCCCACAACCAGTTTCAGTGTAGTCCTTGAGTAAATGTTGTTAGTTAGTTGTCTGTCATGTTACTGCTTGGTATTTTATTGATCCCTGTTTGGTGTTTGATCAGAGGCGATGTGGTGCTCTGTGCTGCCCCTGCTGGTCAACCTGAGTCCTGCGGTTCTGTTCCTCCTGCAGCTGCCCGGCTGCACCGCCACACGGGAAGGAACCTGGGAGGACTACAAATATGGAAACCAAGGCTCGGAGCTGCAAGATAAAAAGCACTTCTGCTCCTGGAAATGCCTCCTGTTCACTCTGCAGTGGCCCGCAGGTTTCTGTCAGGTGAGCTTCACCATCATCATCGTCATCTAAGTCAGCTTTACTGTCAATAGCAGGTACAAGGGACACAGAGGATTGTTTGTCTCATGACCCACATTCAATGTAAGACAAAAAAACACCAATAATTTACCTTTAAAACAAATAATTTACAAACTTCTGTGAAAAATGTGTTTCCCCTCATTCCTTTCTTTACACCCTCACATCCTGCTCTCTTTATTCCTTTACTCCTCTTTTCCTTCCCTGCCCTTTCATTTCCTTGTTTACCATATTCATCACTTACCTACTTCCTTATTTCCTTCCTGATATTCTCCTTTCCTTCCTACCTCATCTTTTCTTTCGGTACCTCCACTTTTCCCGAACACAAACCTCCTTTTTCCTTTCTTACGTCCTCATTTCCTTGTCCTCTCTCTTCCTTCCTTACCTCCTCCTAATTTCCTCCTTTTCTGTCTTCTTTCTTCAAATCTAAATGCAGTCGTGATTATTTCTTTTCTGGGTTTTTTTTTATCCAAACGTGTGCTATGTGTTTTGTCTGTTATGTGTTTGTGTAATTTGTGCACATGAAGCCTGAGATGATCACACTCGCTGACGTCTGTGTTGCTACCGAGGAACTTGTGTCAGACTGTGTTTCTGGAAAGCTGCAGACTCGCTGCCTGATCACAGTCTGCCGCTGCTTCTGACCACAACAGAAGTTATTCTCTCCTCTTGTTCTTGTAGAAGACAAGGCCGAAACATATCAGAATCAGAAGGAGCTTTATTTCCAAGTAGTGTTGAAGGAAAGAAGGAGGCAGGGGAAGGGGAAGTAGGTAAGGAATCAAGGAAGCATCTAACACTGTTTCTGAACGCCACAGTGTTTTTTTCCTTCAGACAAAATGAAACGCCGTCAAACTTTCACACCGTTTTGGTTCCATCTAATTTCAGGCTCACTCAACTCGGTTTGAGTTTTAATTGAAAAGACCCGAGACTCTGCGTGAGCCCGATGGAGCCAAGTTCTCCTGCTCTGAGGAGGCGGAGAGAGAGAGTTTCTCCTGTTGTGGTCAGAAGCAGCGGCAGACTGATCAGGCAGCGAGTCTGCAGCTTTCCAGAAACACAGTCTGACACAAGTTCCTCGGTAGCAACACAGACGTCAGCGAGTGTGATCATCTCAGGCTTCATGTGCACAAATTACACAAACACATAACAGACAAAACACATAGCACACGTTTGGATAAAAAAAAAAAAACAGAAAAGAAATAATCACGACTGCATTTAGATTTGAAGAAAGAAGAAAGAAAAGGAGGAAATTAGGAGGAGGTAAGGAAGGAAGAGAGAGGACAAGGACATGAGGACGTAAGAAAGGAAAAAGGAGGTTTGTGTTCGGGAAAAGTGGAGGTACCGGAAGAAAAGATGAGGTAGGAAGGAAAGGAGAATATCAGGAAGGAAATAAGGAAGTAGGTAAGTGATGAATATGGTAAACAAGGAAATGAAAGGGCAGGGAAGGAAAAGAGGAGTAAAGAAATAAAGAGAGCAGGATGTGAGGGTGTAAAGAAAGGAATGAGGGGATAAGGAAGCAAAGGGGGAATAAAAGAAGGACAGGAGGAATTAAGGAAGGAAATAAGGAGGTATGCAAGGAAAAGAAGAAATAAATTGGATGTTGTGAAAGAAAGGCGGCGTAAAGAAGGAAGAAATCTAGAGGAAGACAGAGGACGTAAGGACAAAGTGAGGAAGTGCAGAATGAAAGGTTGTGAAGGACAGGAAGGAAGGAAATGAGGAGGTAGGGAAGAAAAAGAGCAAGTATAGGACAAAAGAAAAGGTAGACATGAGGAAGGAAATGAGGAGGTAGGGAAGGAAGCAGAGAATAGAAAAGAGAAGATGCTGAATGGGATTTCAATACGTCGGCCTCCTGCAGTTCATTAAACACGTTCAGTAACTGCTGAAGACTTTCAATATGGCTGCTGGAGGCAGGTTTGTTAACATGCTGTCTGTCCGTCTGTCCTGCAGTCTTTGAACAAAGAGACTCTCTGCAGGATTCCTCAGAACATCAACAACTGGACCATCCACGGTCTGTGGTAAATATCTCACACACAGTCACCTCTCCGAATATGTCAGCGTGACTCACTTCTTATCTCATCGCTGAAGGAATCTGAGACTCTGCTGAAAAGAAGCTAGAGTTAAACATTGGACAACATGAGGACAGAGCTCTTCGTTGTAAAGATGCGATCTATCTTACAGTATCGGCTGTTAAGTGCACCCATAACACAGCCAGTCACATTTCAAATTCTTTGGACTGTGTCCCACCTCTGAGATCGTCTTCTCATGGAGACTAAAGAACACTGCAGCCTTTAGGGGGCGCTATTGGACCTTTCCACGTGTTTTCAGGTTGGTGTTTTCCCAAACAGGTGTTTAGAAGATTTTATAATGTCAAAGAAATGTTTAAAACAGACAGAACTTAACGACCTACAGAAGCTGAACTTTTGCTCTTCTGGGTTCTGCCTTGGGTTCCCACTGTGTTTGACAAACCAGAATATTTTGGATATATGTCACGTTAAAGAGGTAACATGAAGAGTTCCTCAAGTTTAAGAAAATACTGCTCATGCATGAAGTTATTCTCTCCTCTTGTTCTTGTAGAAGACAAGGCCGAAACATATCAGAATCAGAAGGAGCTTTACTGCCAAGTAGTGTTTTACACATGTGAGGAATTAGCTTGGAGATCAGGTGTGATCAGGTGTAATCAGGTGTGATCAGGTGTGATCAGGTGTAATCAGGTGTGATCAGGTGTGATCAGGTGTGATCAGGTGTAATCAGGTGTAATCAGGTGTGATCAGGTGTAATCAGGTGTGATCAGGTGTAATTAGGTGTGATCAGGTGTAATTAGGTGTGATCAGGTGTAATTAGGTGTAATCAGATGTGATCAGGTGTGATCAGGTGTAATCAGGTGTAATCAGGTGTGATCAGGTGTAATCAGGTGTAATCAGGTGTGATCAGGTGTGATCAGGTGTAATCAGATGTGATCAGGTGTAATCAGGTGTGATCAGGTGTGATCAGGTGTAATCAGGTGTAATCAGGTGTGATCAGGTGTAATCAGGTGTGATCAGGTGTAATTAGGTGTAATTAGGTGTAATCAGATGTGATCAGGTGTGATCAGGTGTAATCAGGTGTGATCAGGTGTGATCAGGTGTAATCAGGTGTGATCAGGTGTGATCAGGTGTGATCAGGTGTGATCAGGTGTAATTAGGTGTGATCAGATGTGATCAGGTGTGATCAGGTGTAATCAGGTGTAATCAGGTGTGATCAGGTGTAATCAGGTGTGATCAGGTGTAATTAGGTGTGATCAGGTGTAATTAGGTGTAATCAGATGTGATCAGGTGTGATCAGATGTGATCAGGTGTGATCAGGTGTAATCAGGTGTAATCAGGTGTGATCAGGTGTGATCAGGTGTAATCAGATGTGATCAGGTGTAATCAGGTGTGATCAGGTGTAATCAGGTGTAATCAGGTGTGATCAGGTGTGATCAGGTGTAATCAGGTGTGATCAGGTGTAATTAGGTGTGATCAGGTGTGATCAGGTGTGATCAGGTGTAATCAGGTGTGATCAGGTGCTGCACGCAGACAAACTTACAGTCGACATAAATAAATGTAGATATATAAAAATATGGAATAGATAATGCAAGTTCTACTTAAGCAATAGCTCATGACAGGCCGTGCTATACGCTATCACAGTTAAGGGGGTTGCAGGTGTGACACCAAAATGTGTGACCTATCAGATTCTGTGACCCAAAGGGGAAGTTAAGCACCAGAGGCTCTGACACCGAAAGTGCTTGGTTACGGTTAGGAAAACATCGTCGTTTGGGTGTAATCACAGAATCTGATGGGTCACAGATTTTGCTGCTACACTGGCCCGACGCCAAGCGTATATGTCACGGCCTGAAGTGAGCTGTTGTTTTTATTAAACTTAATTACCAAGTACGGCAAGAAGAAAGTAGGCTAACGGAAGCACTACAATTTGACTTTATTTCACCAACAGACATTTCTTTATGAATACAAACTGTAGTCCCAGCAGGCTGCCGGTAGGCTACGTAGCGCATGACGGTTGCTAAGCAACACGCATCAAAGGCTGGAATTATTAGAGCTATTTATTTAAATCTATTTGCACGATTTCACTTTGGTAACTTGAACTTATATGATAATCTGCTTGCGGCTGTGTTCCGGCGGCCAGCAGGGTAAAATAAGAACACTTTAATATTAAACCTACCAGAAAGGGCAGAACTGCGTCTCTCCTTGAGCAACAGTCTTTGAACAGGCTGTTGAAACTTAAACTTTGTTGTGATATCGCAGACATCTGGGGCGAGTGGTGGACTGCTGACAGAGAGAGAGAGAGAAAGAGAAATGTTCAATCACGTAATAAGCAATTCTCTCTCTCATTATTTCTTTACTTATTTATCTCCGAAGGTAAATGTAACACCGGGTGTAAATGGGGTTTGAGACCCCCAGGAAGATCAGATTTTAGACCCCATTTGTTGCGGAGTGATACAATCTGTGCAAAGGAATTCGACATTATACCCGTTGTATACGCTCATTATATCACTACTATGAACCAATCAGATTGCTTGATTTGAGCTACCCGTTTTATAAAAGAATAACAAAAAGAACAGAGAAAAATAAAAAGATTTGCAGAGAAAGAACACCGAGGCAGATATTTACATGTGCATTTTTCTGGGTTTGTGTTGTGCAGACCTTCATGACTCCTTCATCTGTAATTTCTTCCTGCTTTCAAAACATCTTAAAGGGGAAAAAAGATTTTTTCTCAGCTCTGACAGCTTTTCATTGAATCCCACATTCTCTGCAGAGTGAACTGATAAAGTTGTTACTTGGAAGTGCTGACTGAATAGTTGTCAGCCTTTCAAATCCAACAGAACGAAGAGTCATTCATCGCTCTGTGGGTTCCTGAGCCAAACGCCTTCTGCAGCTGACCTCCCTGCGTACGAGGAACACTCCCTAAACTTTTATAATTGGGCTGATTTGTGCTGCTGCGTTTCTGCCTGCAGGCCTCTTCGGGTGAAGAGTTGCTGCGACTGCTGGCCGGTGTTCCACTCAGACGTCCAGGTGAGTCCCGGTCAGGATCAGCTCACATGGTTACCTGAGACGTCCAACACCAGCAGACAGATATGATCTCCCCTGTCTTCCAGGAGCTGGAGGCGGAGCTGACTGAACACTGGCCGTCCTTACTGAAAGTAAAATCCAGCTTCCACTTCTGGTACGAAATATTATCGGTGTCAAACAGGCGCAGAGCTGCATAGTCACCAGAGCCACATGTGGATTCATCCGCTGCTGAAAATAGTCCCCCAATGGACGCACGTGTCAGGAAACTACCCGGCCTTTTTTCAAAACTAAATATCTGTGAGGTGTTTTTAATGATTTACATCTTCGGTAGCAACCAGTGGGCTTCGAGCTGAGAGCCACAGAAAGTGTTGTCAAGTTTGATATGATACAAATCTCCCTTTAAAATCTTAGCTCGCAGATCAGAGAACGTTTTCCCTACAATTATATTCAAAGACCAAACCGGCGTTGTTAAAAGCAGACGCTTCTTCTATAACATCTGACGGCTGTTTAATACCATCTACTCTGCCTCTGAGATATATTTAAGGATGTGTCTCGTGGCTTAAGTGTAATAACTGACTCTCTGCACCAACGACCTCATTTTATCTTATTTATTCGTTACTATAAGCTGCTAATTAGATGAGATTGCTCCAACAGAATTTCGTTGTATGAACGCATGCAATGACAATAAAGATCTATCTATATAGAAAGTCCCTGAGGGTGTCGTTTCTCTTGGTGCACAGAAAGCATTTGACTTTGCAGACAAATTTGCTTTCGGTAAATTAAGCTACTGCCTCGGTCGTGCGTCTGTATTGGTCGTGCACTATAGTCTTAACACATACTGGATGGAGATCTTTCACTCTGTACCTCATGTTTCAAACGTCAAGCTAGAAACCTAATCCTCTGTTTGGGGTTGCTGGACGGGAGACCAACAATTAACTGCGAAAAAACAACGTACTTTATTGTTTGTCTCCTTCTGGCTCGTTTCTCTTTTAAGACCAAAAAGCACAGCACTTTTCTTAAAACCTCAACTGGAAATTTGATGCATTTGTAACAGTTTGCAGACGTTTAAAACGCAATCGATTAATTGAGAAATTGATTGTAGCCCCGATGTTAACATGCTGCTGTATTATATGTGTGTGTGTGTGTTAACAGGAGAGAGGAGTGGGAGAAACATGGCGTGTGTGCAGCATGTGTGGAAGGAATGAACTCGCCGCTCAGATTCTTCCAGATCTGCCTCAAACTACGAGGACGGTTCGACATCTACAAGTTAGTTCACACGTGTTTCTCAGCGTAGGTCACGTTCAGGGACGTTACAGTGATTAACATTTATTCCCAGACGTTCACCTAAAACTTTAACCGATACTGTGACTGAGCTCCGTGTCATGTTCATATCACATGGCTACAAGGGTCACTTTGTCACATTGGAAAGTGGTGGGGACATAGGCGCTCAGATTAGGGGTGTGAAGAGACACTCAGCTCGCCAGGCATCACGATTTGCGGTATTACTTTCACGAGAACGAGACGAAAAGATCCTCAAACAGTGTTTTAAAGATATCTTCAATGCCGAGCTACAGGGTAGTTTGGGGTAAGACGCCCCAAACTTTAACTACAAGCTGTATTTCAGAACGTTTTTAACAAATTATGCTTTAAAAAAGTGGTGGGGACAAAGTCAGCCATTTCAGAAAGTGCTGGGGACATGTCCCCAGCGTCCCCTGTGTAATTAACAACAATGCATGACTACCAATGTCCAATCTGTAAACTACATTGATGACATTAAAGTCATAAATCTCAGATCACCTCACGTACAATATCACAACAGTACTCGGCTTGTTGGTGATCTTTAACAAATGACTTTGAACTCAGATGTTTGGTTTGAGTCTCCGAATGACGCACTGCAGGAAGCGTTCACTGCTTAAGGCCAATCTACGACACACAGACTTTATACTTGTGCGTTGGTGTCTGCAAAATATCTTTCAAATACAAATGACAATGCTTTGAGAAAAGTTTATTTGCACAGTAAGAAAACACGCAATGCAGTTTAAATAAAGAAGAAACAAATTTGCATTATTTAAAAAAAAAGTCACTCAATTTACCTTTTGTATAAGTGAAGACTTCTACCGTTAATACAAAACTTTTGTACGAGTCAAAAACTGCATGGGGAAAGTTTTGTGTCTGTCTTTCTGTAGATTGCTGGAGGACGCTGCCATCACGCCGTCCTGTGAACGACCATACAAGGTACCACCGCACACTGGACGATCCAACTGTTTAATGATCCCTATTCCCTTTAGAAGTGTAGATATGAACATAGAGACCCATGGGACAAAGACAAACAGTGTAACAGCAGCACAAGCAGAGAAGCGTCACCCAGGAATGTCCATTACAGAGTTACTATAAAGTACTGGTTATACTAATTTGAGCAAAGATGAGTTTCATTTCTTAACAATAAAACTTCATTTGTGGGAGGAAGAGAGTTTTCTTCATTACAGAGCGGTTACAGATGTGTGACTGAAACCTGTGTTTCCAGTTGTCGGGGAATCTATTCCCTCTCATGTGGACGGCATCAGAAGCTCATCCCATCAGAATATCCTTCCTGTGTTTGTGCAGGTTGCGGAGGTTCAGCAGGTCCTGGCTCCACATCTGGGTGACAAACATGAGCTCCAGTGTGTTACAGACGACAAGGTCAGATCTTCTGTGCTGCTTTCTGCTCCAGTCGTGTCTGATGTTTGTTTGTACAGCTCAAACAATTCGTTGACAACGAGCTCAATAATATTTTATGTATTTTTACGTCTTTAATGTGAGGATCTGTGCTTTTTCTGTTTTAATTCACCTGTAAACTGAACATTAGCTTCTTATTTTTTGATTGGTGGGACAAAACAAGACATTTGAAGACATCTCCTTGGACATTTTTCAAAGTTTTCTAACATTGATCAAATGACTAATAACATATTACTGCCTACTTACCTTTACTCTTGACTAATTTACATATTCTTTTCTAATTGTTAGGGTGGATGTGGACATATTCAAGGGTCTGACCAATCAAGAAAAAGCTAATATGTTCAGTTTACAGGTGAATTAAAACTGGAAAAGCACAGATCCTCACATTAAAGACGCAGGAACCAGTGGACGTGCAGCATATTTGCAGTAATAATAAATGAATTATTGAGATTGAACAGCAAAATATTCACATAAGAGAAGCTGTAACCAGAGAAAGTGATTAATGATTAGATTTGAAAGTGATTATTGAAATATTAAATTTTTGCCAGTTCATTTTCATCATCTGATTGGCTGATGGTGACACATGGTGTCCATTCACTGGGTCTCCAATAACTCCAATAACATAACTGTAACCAGATGAAGGACGTGCTGCGACCTTCATGTCCAGAGAGAATGTAGGCACCTGCAGAGAAAGCACAGTGAAAATAAAAGCACTCATGTTTGAACCCAGAGGCGACGAGTCTGCTGTGAAGGGAAACATCAACACAATCGGTCCACACAGTCAGAGCTGAGTCAATATCACTGTTGTTCCCTGCATGTATGATTGATTATGGCTTAAATTGGCAGTCGTAAAGCTTTCAGTCCTGGGTGATTTCTCGACTACTGTGGTTACTGGTGCTAACAGCAAGTGAAATTTGATATTACAGCAAAACAAACCTATTTAACAGGGCTGGACTCAAGTTTGTTGGGTACGTGATCCGATTTTTTAATTCTAGGATGTGAATATTCAGGGGTTTTGGGGGGGGGGGCAGTGAATGTAACGCTCCAGTTCACATCAAAGAGAAAACAAAAAGCCGAAGCCCTCGGCTGTGTGGGAGCACTTGTGTGTGGCAGTTATGGAGTTTATTATTTTTACAAATGCTTAATTTCATTACAGATATACACCTACATTTTAAAGTTAATCAGTAAACTGTGGCCTACAACAGACAAATTTTAATAATTATGAGGCCGGTTGTAGAAGAACAACATTTAGTCGCTATAATAGAAGTTAAAAGTACTTTTTTATAATAAAGCGTAGATTTAGTTCGGCCATTGGAAATGGCGCTCTCCCCGCTCCCCCGCCCAGCTAAACTATTCCCAGATCCTGTTCTGGACCTGCTCGGCTCGGCCTCCCACACTCTGGACTCTCAGCCAGTTTCCCGCCTTTGCTCTGCACAGCGGGGGGGTTATTTAATAAAGAGGTCAGGCAGTAATGGGCCTGTATTCTGTGGGTGACCCTGATCTGATTTTATGCTGCAGCTCTTCATCAACAGACACCCAGTTCGTAATACTGCAAATGAGTTTTATAATATTTCTTCAGTGAGACTCAGTCACTGTTGTGTGAACTCGTTTGGCGAGAGACAGAGACTTTACAGCCATTTAATTAAATGGAAATCTCAGAGATTTCAACTTTAAATCCAGAGTGGCAGCTCGCTCCAAAAACAACAAAGCATTAAATCCAGACTGTGCTGCTGGGTTTCATGAATTTTTGTCAAACTTAACTTCTACTTGATCAGGTGTTCTTTTTAAAGATAAGTCCCCTAAAGGCTTCAAATGAACTACCGTAGAGAGTACGATCGCACCCGGCTCTCCTTCTGCACCAAGTCCTCCACCTCCCATCTGCATCGCCAGCTGCCACCAAGACATCAGGAGCTGGGTGAACATGAACTAAACAGCAACAAGACAGAGATCATTCTCTCCAAAACCTCTTCATCAGAACTGATGATTTACCGGTAACTCAGTCATCCAAAGTAAAAAGCCTCCGTGTCCCCCTGCCTAACACCCTGTCCTTTGAATCCCACATAAAAACCATCACCCAGACCGCCTTTTTCCACCTGTGCATTATCTCAAGAGTCCGACCCTGAAACTCTCAGCCACTCTCTTTGTCACACTCTGGCTGGGCTCCTGCAACACTCTCCTCACCAAATACATCAATCAACTCCAACTGGTTGAGAAGTCTGAGCTCACTGACAAATCATTAGAACATATCACACCTCAAACTTCACTGGTTTTGAATTATGCACCTCATTTAATTGCACGCCCTGCGATGGACTGGCGACCTGTCCAGGGTGAACCCCGCCTTTTGTCAGCTGGGATAGGCTCCAGCCCCCGCGACCCTGTACGCAGGACAAGCGGTTGGCGATGGATGGATGGATTTAATTGCACATTTTATTACCTGGTATTTAAGATGTCTGTGAGTGTCCCCCAAATAAAACTCCTTGCCCCTGCTTCCAGTCTTTAGGCTACTGGTGGGTGAAAAAAGCCCTTCTCTTGGTCCTGTCTGTCTGTAAATGCATTAATATCGACTGCTGAGGTAGCTGGTTTCATATTTGATAGATTTCTCAGAGACAATTCCCACTGCGGCAGATACACATGAACAAGACTACGAGTCTGCGGCCACGCTAGCCGCACGTACACCGGAATATCTGACACCATCCGCAAAGTCTGCAACGCGCTGGCGTCTTGCATCTGCAGATGTGGTTGCACTCTTGAGAGTTTGTTGAAGTGATGAGCTTTTGTTGTTGCGCCGTCTTGGATTTGACGCCATGTGTAGCTTTATCTCGAACGCCATTCTTTCAAAACAATGCTCTGGTGCCAGATAGCTCAGTCACCGCTGAAAATAACCCTCCCTGACATGAACATCATGTTTAGGCGGCTTTCAAGTTCAAGTTCTAGTATCTTCAACCAAGTCCAGTTGCCCTTGACTTTAACCTTCGTTGGATAACTATGAGCTGGATGACTGAGAATCTTCAGAGAGTTGAGATACATTCTGATCCATTCGGTTAGGTTTGGTTTCACTGCAACTCTGCGACCGCACTAAAGGACTAAAGCAGGGAGCTTTGACAAGAATGAATGAATAAAAAATGAACATCTGCAGATTTGCCACTATATTATTATTATGGCATTACTACCTGCAGCACCAACTACACTGAAGGCTCGTTCAAATTCGCAATTAAACGTCCTCGTTGTGCGAGAAACCAAAGATGCATGTGGCAGTGTTGCTTCTATAGCTGCCGTCTGTTTGAAAATATGAGCTGTCACGGGAGATTTATAAGTGTGTCCTTATTTCAGTGCATTTCTCCGTGCATTTGTTTGTTTCCGGTGTAACCCCAAAATCTGTGACCTATCAGATTCTGTGACTAAAACTAAACAACGATGTTTTCCTAACCATAACTAAGTACTTTTGGTGCCTAAACGCAACCAAACTGCAACAGCTTCACATCGTCAACAAAGCCTCTGCCGCTTAACGTCCCCTTTGGGTCACAGAATCTGATAGGTCACACATTTGGTGTCACCTGTTACACGTTAACCGCCAAACTTCCTGTAAATAGTCCAAAACAACAAAAAAAAATTTTACACCAGAAACGAACCGCACCACGGTTCAGTTTGATCCGGACCCAGACTACTTCTTTTCGTCAGACCACATTTCATCTCTTTGGTCCACACTGTGGTCCGTGGGAGGTTTCACACCTGCGATTTTGGTTGAAAAGTCCGACAGTCCGAACCAAGCGAGGCAGGTGTGAAAGCCGCCCTAGACTGACAATCATTTCCATCCTTAAAGCCACACCGGTAGCGTAGGCGATAAAATCAGTTCACTACACATTGTTAGGGCCTCACACAACCGCCACACCAACTAAATCCAATAACTCTTAGGCCTTCCTCGGTGCCCCGCCTTCCATCCATCCCTGCGATGTTCCTGAAGCTCACAGCTTTAATTTGAGTCATTTCTCCAAAACAAAAGGCTCAAAGTCTCGAAGGAGCCATCAAGACCGATTCTAAATATACCAGCCAGCCCGATTTAAGCACAATTTGTGGAGCCGTTTTCCTTTCTGATCACACGCTGACATCCGATCACCAACGGACAGCCCACACTAAAGAGCCTGTAAGCTTCTGGAGCAGATCGGAGCGTGAGAACATCACGCCCCAAAACCCCCACAAACACTTCACTCTGGGGGGCTTCAATGTAATGTAACATGCTGAAACTTTTCCAGCTCCGACAGAACATAAATCATATTGCTAAATACCGATGTCACTGATGCCTCGAGGCCGTACTGCTGTTGTTCATTTGTCTGGTGAACCTCCAATGTGGTTTTCAGACTTAATGAGCTCAGAGTTGGCAAGATAAACTCCAATCAACCCTAAACATGTCTATGATGTATGTTGATCACGGAGTCTGTCCAAAACTTAGTTCACTTCAGTTTATTGTCTATAGCACTAAAAGGTCCGGCAGTGTCTTCCAGTGAAATATCTCAGGCTCAAATCACACTTTAATCGTGATATCTCAACTGTTCCTCGCCAGATCGCCATGAAATTTACTTGATGATGAAACCTAACTAAACTTTTGTGACTGTGAACTTTCCTCTTGCACCACAATGTTACTACTGGCACACAAGACAGCTTTGTATTATATCATTCATTTATTAGTTTCATTTGCCAGAATTATCTTCTGTTTTATATTTTCCTAATCTTCCTTATCTAAGTGATGTAAAGCAAAGCCCTCTGCACCGTGGGTGAGTTCAGGAACATATCAAAGGCCCTGGTTCATGTACAGTGTAATGAATGGATGCCAAATCAACAGCTTTCAACATTCTAGCATAGAATAATTTCACTTCTCCTCCTTGTTTCTGGTTTGTGTGTAAATCGAAGAAGTTCAAGTCCCGTGAAAAACTTAATGGTACAAAACTAAGCAGCAAAAGTTAAAAACAACGTTTACGTCACCAAAACAGACATTTTGTAGATCTAAAATGAACAATTAAATGAAGGAGTTTGTTCATTATTTCACTGTAGGATCATCTGATAACCAGCTGCTCGGTCTTTCTAGAGTAAACACCTTGGAACAGCCCGTTAACACCCTCAGAAGCTTTATTTGTACTATATTATACCTAATATTAATGAAGGAAGACAGAGCAGCTGGTCAGCAGTCAGTGAAATAATGAACAAAACTCCTTTATTTAATCTAAAAAAAGGTCTGTTTTGGTGACGTAAACGTTGTTTTTAACTTTAACAGCACAACTTTTGTAGCATTTAAGTTTTATCTCCAGATTTGAACAACTCAAAGATTTACACACAAACTAGAACAACAGAGTTCGTTTTTTTTTTTTTCAATTTTCAAATCCTTTGGCAGATTATGTGGCAACATTGTAACTCAAATGTTTGAATGACTCAAATTAAACGTTGGTAATAAACTCCTGTCCTGCATCCCGTTGAAAGGGATCGTTTAATGAACAGTATGAATTATTAACCAGAAAGCCTGACAGTATTCTAAGAGGCCCAGGAGTGAAAACATTTGAACTTCTGACTCATCTTTATTCTTCCCTCTCTGAGATTGTTATTTCCACATGGTGACTGAGGCACACCAGCTATAATCATTTCACTATGAATCTTAACTTGTTGTTTTGTTTGCACTTGTGAACGCTCTGTTAAATGGTTTTTGAGAAGTTGAAAAACCACAGCTGCGTATGCGCTCTGTTTGCTGCCTACTTTGAATCTGGGTTGTGTGACTAATCCTTCCTTTCGCTACAAACTGTATAAAGAAAGATTATTAATGATTGTACAGTGGTGTGAAAAAGTGTCAACACAAATGCAGTTTTTATTATTAAAGGGGGGGATTCAAACCTACCTGGCCCTGTGTGAAAAAGTGACCCAAAAAAAGGCCCCTAAACCCAATAACAGGTCGGGCCCCCTAAGCAGCAACAACTGCAATCAGGCGTGTGCAATAACTGGCAGTGAGTGTTTTACAGCGCTGCGAAGGAAGCGTCGCCCACTCGTCTTTGCACAATTGTTGTAATTCAGCCACATTGGAGGGTTTTCGAGCCTTAACCACTTTTTTATGGTCCTGCCACAACATCTCAATCAGATTCCGGTCAGGACTTTGACTAGGCCTCTCCAAAGTCTTCATTTTTTTCTTAAGCCATTCAGAGGTGGACCTGCTGGAGAACCCAAGACTGCTTCAGCCTGAGGTCACCAACAGATGGCTGGACATTTATTTTTTACCAAAAGTGTTGGGGATCATCAAGATGTTTTCTGGCAAAGCTGTAACGTGCCTTTCTGAGAGACGAGTTCTTTTTGCTCAGCAGTGATTTTCGTGTGCCATGCAGGCCATTTTAGCCCAGTCTCTTTCTTATGGTGGAGTCTCGGGAAGGGAAGCCTGCAGTTGTTTGGATGTTGTTGTGGGGTTTTTGTGACCTCTTGGATGAGTCTTTGCTTCATTCTTGGGGTAATTTTGGTCTGCCAGCTACTCCTGGGAAGGTTCACCACTGTTCCATGTTTTCGCCATTTGTGGATAATGGCTCTGACTGTGGAGCTGGAGTCCCAAAGCTTAAGAAACGGCTTTATAACCTTTTCCAGACTGACAAATCTCAATTACTCGGTTTCTCATTTGTTCCTAAATTTCTTTGGATCGCAGCATGATGTCAAGCTTTTGAGGATATTTTGGTCTACTTCACTTTGTCAGGCAGGTCCTATTTAAATGATTTCTTGATTGAGAACAGGTGTGGCAGTAGTCAGGCCTGGGTGTGGCTAGACAAATTGAACTCCGCTTTCCAAAGATGTGATAAACCACAATTGATTTAACGGGGGTCTAATATTTTAATTTGTTTGATCTGAAACATTGCAGTATGACAAACAAAGCTAAGAAATCAGGAAGGTGGCAAACACTTTTTCACACCACTGTATATGCAACTGTATGCGTCTGTTGATGCAGCATTTCATCCTGATAAAAGTTAACAATCAGCGACTTCCACCTGCCCGAGGGAATGCAACCTTTCCAACAAAGCCACGTTTGAACTTTCAGGGCGCTGGTGCAGACAGACTACTGGTCAGTGGTTGTTGAGATGTCTCACTGTGGACAGATGAAAAGTAGAATTGCTGATTTTATAATGCAGAAAGTGCTCAATGCTGAAAGTACATGAAAAGCAAATTAATCACAGTAGTAAGTACTTTAAGTTGCTTTAAAAGTCTGGCGGAAGTACTTGTAGTAGTAGTAAGACTTAAGCAGCAGTAGTAATAAATAAAGGTTATCCTACCGGTAGCTATGTTTCATGTGTTCTCCTCCAGCATGATGTCTTTACACTCATCCCTCTCCTCCCTCAGGACAGAGAGGTGTGGTTTCAGGTGAAGATCCCTCTGTCTCGCAACCTGACTCTAGGCTGTCAACACCACAGCGACGCTAACGGGGACCCAGCGTCCGGGTCTGGCCCAGGATGGAACCCCTCCTCTGGGCATCCCTGCCCTTCTCAAGTCCCTTTCTACTACTTCCCCATTGACCATGAGGAGCCACGGCGGCCCTGCAGCTAACAGAACCACGGCCACCTGGAAAACCTCAACATCAGCTGGCTGTCCAACTCTGGAGTTTGAATGCGTGTTGTTAGAGTAACAGCAGTTATTGCTGCACACTAAATACTATAAATAAATAAATGCCAATGATGACTTTAAAGTTTGGATCCAACCCGATTCATCGAGGTCAGCAGCTCAGCAAACAAATAGATGAAGAATTCAAATGTCCTGTTTTAAAGAAATGTTTTTGGCTCCGAACCACCAATTAAATCACTTTTACACTTTCATGTACTTTCATTGATTGGTTCTCCAGCTGACGAGTGTTCCTGTTTAGTTGCCTTTCAAGTATTTAACAGAACACAAAGCACACGGTGAGTCTGGACATTTGACACTGATCAGCCATAACATTATGACCACCTGCTCATCCTGACCCGTCGAGGCCTGGACGACGGCCAGGTCTGCTCTGTGTGTTCTGACTCCTTTCTATCAGACTATCAGAACCAGCATCAACTTCTTCAGCAGTCTGACCTCCAGTAGCTCGTCAGCCTTCGCTCCCCAAGTGCATCAGTGAGCCTTGGAAGTTGAAATCTCCGACTTCCAACCTCAAAGTGTTTCAGGTGCATGACGCTAAACGTAAACAACAAACTTGGCTGACCGTGACAAACTTATGTTTCTTTGTCAAGTTCATGCGCAGTTAAACCCTCAGCAGGCCACTTGGTATAATTAAAAGGATGGACATTGCATTAAAAATAAGTGATTAATATACATAACTTGTTAACTGTTTATCCTTCTAGCTACATCAGTTGGTAATCCTCAAAAGTCTGTATTTCCTAATGTTTTCACATTTTTAACATTTTCCTGAATAACTTTTGGGTAGAAAAGGCGACTTTCAGAGATTGTTTACTGTAACCAGCAACCAAATAACATTAATTTACATGCAGAACAAGTTTTACTATTTGATATTAGTATGTATTAATTTAATACTTTGTCGTTGTTGTGCGATGTCATTCGGCTGCTACTCGTGAAGTCGGGCTACATATTATTTCTCAGAGTCCACGAGTTGGAAATCCGACTTAAATGGCGTTTCCGTGGTACTTTTTCTAGTTGGAGGTTGGAAATTTCCCAGTTCCGAGTTGCCTGAGACGCAGCATTACTACTGGTCCCACATACACCGTCCTGCTGGCCCAAATACTCACTGGAGCACCACATGTGGATTCATCCACCATTGAAAATAGTCCCCAAAAAAAGCGGTTTTAGGAAATTACTTTTTTGACATTCAAACAGCAGAGACCTGAAAGTCATTTATATTTTTAAGATGTCACCACAGTTGTGAGCAGTGGCGGCTGTTGCATCTGAGATTCAGCTTGTGAACATGCAAAAAAGAAACACGACCGTTTCCACAATGTCCCCATCTGCTTACAATGAAACACTCTTAATCCAATAGTCCCTCCTCACAACTCAGTGTTTGTTGACGCTGATAAAAATATAAATAAAACCAGACCCATACTCATAAGGCGTCTGTACTCTGTGAGATCATGGTCTAATCAATAAAGATAAGGATAATGGATTCAAGTTGAGACTTGTCATCACTTCCATCACAGATCTTCGCTGCTCTCTTAGTTTAAAGACTCACCAGTGCAGGCATGAGCCTTACAAAAGGAAGAGGAGGAGTGTGTGAAGCTGGTCTTGGCGTGAAATAAAGGGCCACATGAAATGTTGGTTCTTCAAAGAAAGTTTAAGGTCAACTTTAGCACTAAACCTCTCGCACACAGCCTCCAATGTCCAACACATGCCTCTTGAAATATTTTAATCACTTGGTCCTAATCCAATCACTCTCCCTTCCTTCCAAAGAACAATGGAAACAAATCGCTCTTGGACTCGAGAAGAAGCTTAGCCACTGTAAAGGTTTGAACAGTGGCCTTGGAGTATGGGAGCAAAGAGGACCACGCCGAGCACTATTCATTTGTTAGTGTGGTGTATAACATATGTGCATTTGACCATTACAGTTTAACATAATACTCTGCAGCTGGAGAGAGGGACAGTGAACCCTTATGGGGAAGTAATGATTGATGGGTGTGCAAAGAGTGAACCCTTCTATGGAATTTGACCTCTGACCCAGTGGTAGGGGGAGTAGAGATTAGTGTGTATGAAGGGACTGTACCCTTCTGTGGTGTCTAACAGATGGTTACATTTATTCTACAGTACTGTGCCCTTATATGGTTTTTAGCAGATACCTAAACATGTCCTATATAAGCTGTGTTCGATGTACAGAGAGACAGAGTGGTTATCGGGCTGGGTCACTCTCCAAGCTGCTGCAGAGCTTGTAATTGATGCTTAATTCTTTGATGTAATAAACTTTTATAATCAAGAACAGTGTCAAGCGGATTTCTTCTCAACACATCATCGCAGCATTATCGTTCGGACACCACATTAGTTTGTAGATGCGGGTCATTGCAGCAGTCACAATGAGATGGCTGTGAGTTTAGGGTTCGGTATCAAGAACTGGTTCCAAGTTGGAACGGTTACCAAATGTCCAAGAACTGCGGATTGAATCAGATCCTGCTCCTCGGTTTTTAACTTCCTGCATATCTCAGCTCCTGACTGAACTGCAGTGAGCATTTTACCGTCCATCAAAGAGTCTCTGATCTGCCAGCAGCTGCTACGCCGACCGAACGTCACCTCATGTGTTACGTCAACAAAGCGTGAAGAAGAGAGTCCTTCTGGTTCCGGTCCTGGACCGTGGCGGACCGCAGCAAACGCTCCAAAGTTTGGCTTAGCTTCACCAAAAAACTGCACCAGCCGCAGTAAGGAGGTTTGGTGCGAGGGAGGAAGCAGCTCCAACGTGACGAAGCGTTTGACGCGGCGTGAATCTGAATGCAGGGGAAGAGGAGCGAGGAGGAGGAAGGTCACCGGGCGCCGAGAAGGGCTGTTTGAAACATTATACGTATAAATGCCGTCTCAGAAGGTGAAGCAGGGCAGCGAGGGCTGTTCGAAAAGGAACCGAATGATCTTTTGTCCCGTAGGATGCCTTCAAACTGCCCACCTAGACCGTATGCTGCCTGCTACCCATAAATCTGTGTGAAAAATAGCGAAGATGGCCGACAAACAAGCCGAAATTAGTCTACAAAAACTTTTTAGCAGGTATTTTGATTTGATTTTTGAAAAGTTCCCCAGAACTAAACAGAAAGTATCACATCAGCCAGTGACTGTGACCAACCAAGTTCGTTTAGTCTGATTTCTGAGGCGTCTGTTAGCCATTTGCCTTTTTTTAGCTAGCCAACGCTGAGGCTGGTCAGTGACAGATGCAAAACGGCGTGCTGACGTCACACGTTGCCATAAATGCTGCCCTTAATGTTGGTTTGAAACCAATGTTCATTGAGATGCCTTCACTCCAAACTATTACACCAGTGAGGAAGCGAAGCAACTGCCTTCTGTTGCGAACAGAGCAAGGATCTGTTGGAAACAAGGATCCAGAAGAACCAGAATAAATGAGTAGAATAAGAATCGTTTGAAGGCCTTTTCACACGGGAAGCGATTTACGCGCCTCGTAATTCATTTTCAACGAGAGGCGAGCGTTTAGGAAGGGAGGCGCAGGCATTGCGACAGGCAGTTCTGAGCCCGCGGGGACAGGCGGAGTGTCGCTTCCCGTGTGAAGAGGCCTTTAGGCTGCAACTCCAGAAACTACTAAATAAGCACTGATGCTTTGCTTAATCCATCCAACTAAATACACAACGCACTGTTTCACAGTATTACTACCCGCCACTAACGCTGTGGACAAGTGAAGACAACTTGATTTGACGGCGTGGATGGAAAAGTGGAGGAAGCAAGAGAAAACTGCGAGAGAGAAAGAGAAAAAGATGTAAAGTGTCCCAAGTATTGTGATCATTTCAGTGTAAAAGAAAAAAACATTTCTACTCGATGAATCAATGGAATAATCTATAACCCCCCCCGAGCCGTATGGCAAAAGATCCACTTGGAGACAAGCACATTATCTGGTTCACAGTTTATTAACATGTTAACACGTTTTAACGCTCCTGCGCCAAGAAAACCAAAAAGTACGGACAGAACATTCAGAAAGCACTAAAACCTGATTCAGACTATGAATACAGTGAACCTAACGAAAAAATAAAAATAAAAGCAGCCGGAGGAGAGAGACAGAGAACTGCTGAACTCATGAGGGGTGTGTTTGTGTGTCGTTGCGTTGTGTTTGAGTTTCTGTGCACACGTTTCCCTCCCCATCTCAGTGCTCGAGGCGTCCCAGGAACCTCAGGTTGAGGATCTTCAGCTGGTCGTCCAGCTCCATGCGGACGATGCCGTCGTCTCCGTCGATACTCAGCAGGATACCCGTCGCCTCGCGGTCTTCTCCCAGAATCACCTTCACCTGGACACGTGGAGACGATCAGCATTGACAGCCTATCAGCAGCTCACAGGGGACCGTTTTTACAAAAAATAAAAAACAGCCTTGACACTAAAAGTTTTGACTTTATTTTTATTAAACACATCTGACACGTTTTAGGTTCTTTCATCTATCCAATATTTACACTACATTGCCAAAAGTATAAGGACATCCTGCCAAATATGATTCACTTTACTCCAACACAAAGTTAGAGACACACTCTTTTCCAGATGTTTGGTTTGTCTCCTTAAAACAAAGCAATGTTGACCCGGGACCCTTTGTCAATGATTTTTTCTCTTTTTATTCAGTCTTTTGACTCATTAGACCGAACACCGAAAGTGCTGTTTTTGCTGTTTAAGGACGACTAATTTTGGTTGCCGAACATTCGGTGCATCTCTAAGTAGAAGATTCGATGCTTCAACAGGCGGAGCCTGATTCCACTGCCCATCTCACAGTTGCATGGGGTGGTGATGGCGCAGGGGAGAAGACACGTGCCTTTGGTGGATGGGTCACAGTGAGGGATTGAACCCGGGTCTCTCACACCAATCTGTCCCCGAGCACGACACTTAACCCCTAGTTGCTCCAGAGGCGTGCGACCTCTGACATATATAGCAATTATAAGTCGCTTTGGATAAAAGCGTCGGCTAAATGAATAAAAGTAAATGTAAGGAATCTTCGCAGTGGCGTTATGAAACAAGGATCAGACCACTTTAGCTATATGGGGGTGCTCAATGTCTGATTTTACATTCCCAATAAGTTAATATAGAGCCTATTATCATATAAATATCAACATATAATGTTGTAAATAAACATGATGTGAAAAAAAGAAGCTTTTAATAAATCTTTTTAAAGTGCCAGAATAAATCCCAAATTGTAAACCCTTAAGGTAGGGGCCGTGTGTGGTAGAATAGGAAGCGAGACAGCGTACCAAGCTGTGCCGGTGGTGTGCAGGCGCGAGACGTTTGAATCATTTATCACCACTGACGAGCCAAAAAAAGAATATAACATCGTTTAGGTATTTGGAATAGACCCGTGAGGAACAGCGGCGTGCATGCACAGGTCTGCACAAGACCGGTGCATGGCAGGCGAGCAGAGCAGAGAGAACAGGGTCCACAATACGCCTCAGTATAGCTAAGAATGTACAGTGACTAATGAAGAGTCTGCAGCTTCTTAAGATTAAAGTAGAGCTTTACAATTCTGATTTGACTGTAAGTTCTGAGTCAGGGACACCCCTAAAATGTTGTGTTATTGTTTTACTTGCAAACCACTTTGTGACCTTGATCTGTGAAAGGGCCTATATTAAATTTACTTACTGACTACTTTCTTTAGGGGTCCCAGCGCCCAGGTTGGGAGCCACTTGTCTAAAATATCATCATATCAAACCAGGACTAACAGACCAAGACAGGGTGTCCACATACTTTTGTCCATTTAGTGTATCTACGTGCATCTGACTACAGGGCCGGGTGATAATTCACTACACAGTGGAATGATCATGTTATTGTTTCATGAAATCCTGTTGTTAAAGTATAAAATCATAAAAACATCACAATAACAAAGATTTTGTCTCGTGTGATGTATAAAAGTGGAACACATCAATAATCTGAACATCAAGCTGATTGTTTTTTGGGTTATTTTGCATTTTGTGGTGGTTATTTGCAATAAGAGGAAAGTGCTCGTCATGCTACTTTGGAAGTGAACATCGGTGTGGTGTGTTGGTGGGAACTGTTACCTTGTTGTTCTTGGTGGGAGTGATGGGCTCCAGGTGATCGCTGCTGATACTGACCACCTTCTCCGACTCCTGCATGAACACTGAACACATCCCTCCCTGCAGAAACACACACAGAATTCAAATATCTGGATTTAAGAGTTATAAGACTGATAACAATGCATCAGCCAGTATTAACTTTTTAACAAACACTGGTTAATCGTACAAACATATTTAATAAGGAAAACCTGAGCTAGGAGTGAGCAGGACAGTCAACATCTTGGCTTTTCTTTACTAAATTTCATGTTACTTATTGGATTATTGACATTTTAATGCTCGGAGGGCCTTCCTATAAGGCCCTCCGTAATGCCAGAGCAGCGTACTACTCGTCATTAATAGAGGAAAATAGGAACAACCCCAGGTTTCTTTTCAGCACTGTAGCCAGGCTGACAGAGAGTCACAG